GTCCACGAGACAGGACCTCTGTCCAAGGTAACAGCAGCTAATGTAGTGGTTAAAAGCTCTCTGGAGTCAGATACAAGCTCAAACATCCTCAGTCGCTTACTAGTCGTGGAACCATTGTGCCTCAGGGGTTTTTTTGTGATATGAGAATATTAATACCTACAACCTGGGTAGGCTAAATTATGCAACAGTAGAAAATAAAGCCTAAAATCTCAGGAGATGAATACCTCAAAGTTTATTTCTCGCTCCTGCAAAGTGAACTGTGGGCCCCAGGGTTCTCCTGGGTAGTTCCCTTCCAAAGGGGGACTTAGTACCAGTCGGTCTGCATCCTGTGGTTATGCCATCCAGAATATGTGGCTCCCAGGTGGCCACTACAGGAAAAGAGAAAGCTAAAGAGAATGCACTGGCTCTTCAATGTTTCAGTGTGTCTGTAGGAGAATGAGGAAAGGATCTTATGGTAGATAACCTCCAAAGATGGCGGCTACCCATTCCCTCCCTTCCTGTATGTGCATGCCACGCCACCCATCAAGAGGGAGAGCCCTTTAGTCTGGCTGGCCTTGTACCTTGCCTTGGTCAAGAGAATGTGAAGAAAGTAACCCGGTGCCAATGCCAGACCTATTCTGCAAAAGGCCAGGCCGCTTTGGTGCCCTTGGAAGCCAACTCAGGTAAAAAGTCCTACTACTCTGAAACCTTCATGCTGTAAGAAAGACCAAGCAGCCACATGGAGAGGTTGTGTGGAAAGATGGAGATGCCCAGCCAACTCCCAGCTCATCCAGCCATCCTAGCTGAGGTGCCAGACACACAAGGAAGAAACCACCTTGGACATTGCAGCCTGTGATCTCTACAAGGCGCAGCAGACCTGCCCAGCTGGGCCCAGCCCGGGGCGCAGAATCATAAGAAATAAGTTGTTGTTGTTTTGGTCCAGTTTATTACACAGCAATAGAAAGAGGGTGTATGTGGGTCTGAGAGGGGGCAGGGAAGACAAAGAGAACGTATCGGAGCCCTAGAACCGAGGACCTGAGCAGAAGCTTAAAGTGGTGCTCCCCAGGGCTCTGAGTGAATTAGAGCACACACAGCCCTGCTTTGGAGTTCAAGAGACATGAAATTAGGGAGCAAAAGTGCTGTCATGTGTACAGACTGCAGCCTGGGATTGGCCAGGGAGAACTTTGAGGAGAGAAACAGTCACCTGGCACGTCAAGGTCTGCAGCCTGGGGAGAGGGTTGCAAGCTAGGCAGGGACAGTCTCCCCGGGGCAGTGGCTTCATGGCCACACGACATCAAGAAGCTGCAAGTAGAACTCTAACTTGACAGGACTATTGTGAGCTCACATATGATATTCCTGGGGACTCCCAGAAATGACCGGAGGAGAGCCAGGCAGAGGACCCCCATTGTGAGAAGTGGGCAGAGGCCAGGAACGCTGACTTGTCACTGTCCTTGGGGCCTCATGTGTGCCCATCTGGCTAGTGTGGCCCCAGGAAACACAGATAACAGCAGGAAGGCCCGAAAGTGATAGCCAGGAAACTAAATTCAGAAGATGTACAAAACATCCTTGAGGGGCACCCAAAACCGGGTGGGAGGGACTTGAAAGGGACTGGCGTGGGCAGAAAAAACTCCCAGGGAAGTCCTGTTTACTGCCGTGGTTCTGACCCTATTTTGACCTCCCCAGGCCAGTCTTCTAGGCTGGAGCTTTGGCAAGAACACTGAAAGGAATTTTCTGAGATGCCCAGGCCCTGGGTTCTCTCAGCCCAGCACCCAGTTTTCCAGCTCCTCCCAGGGATGACTCAGCATCTGAACCCAGATTCAGGGCCTGAGAAGGACATGATTTCTAGATCCAATTTGCCTCTGGAGGCAAATAGAGACTCGGAAGAACAATGAGCCAGGAACTCAGTCAAAGGGGGCTATGTGCCTCCCATGGGCCAGGACAGCCCCACTGTGTGGTGGGAAAATGAGGTTCTGTGGATGATTCCAAGGCCCCGGGCCAGGATGGGAAGACGGACCACTACTTTGGGCCACACAGCTAGCACAACGTCCCAAGATGTCAAATCAGTTAAGGGTTGGAATGGGGCTCAGGGCTCAGTGGGAAGGCATCTGTGACTGATTAGTGATGTCAGCCCAGGGGCTGAGGACTGTGGTGTTTCCTGTCTGACTCCGTGACCTCAGCCAAGGGACTGTGCCTTTCATTCCCTCTCACTTCTAAAGCACAGTATATAAGAAAGCAAGCGGCTGAGCAGTGAGGAGCCCCGTATCCATGAGGACGAGACCCTTGTTCATCAGAAGGAGCCCCTAGCCAGTGCTTTCTGGCTTTCCATGTAAAAGCCTTTGAGAAGCTCAACAGGGATGCCTCTTCCCAAGCTGACCCCCGTGTGCTCGGGGAGGTCTTTTATTTTTTAGGGTCTGTGTATGCTGCTCCACAGCATGGGGCTCTCAGCCTCTCACTCCAAAGCACAGCTCTTCCTGGCTGGTCTGCACCTTCCATCACAATCGGCACCCTCCGCTGTGCGGGTATGTCCACCCCCACACGCGCCCTCGTTCCAGTGTCATCTGCATTTAACATCCCTTGTTGGGCGCTGTGGCAGAGAATACTCAACAGACTCATATTAAAAATGCCCTTTAAAATTCAAAAGCTTTGAACTAAAGAAATACCTCGAGAAGTTTTCATGGAAAGTTCAGCTCTGCTGATTCAATTCACCACTTAGATGCACCTTTTCAAATAATAGGGAAAAAATGTAACAGGGTCAGGCCCAATCAATATGCTTGTTCAAACAGAATTGCAGGGACTGTGATGTGCACACATTTTGTACTCTGCCTTTGTACCCCGCCACTCGCTCTGAAGAAAGGTTGCTTTGCTCGGAGAGCAATGAAAGTGGTCGCCTTTGGAGTGGAGGCGGCACAGCAATGGCATGTGTGCCGGCCGGGAGGGACTGCCATTTTTCACATCCCCCCAGCCTGGTCTCTTTGTTCTTTTCATAACAGCGCGAAACCCACATGGGCAAAGTCCTCATGCGCCCCCGTGTCTGATGGAAGCAGAGGTCTTGCAGCATTTGCCTGCCATGTCTCAGAAATCTGATTTGTGGATTAGACAAATGATTTGCTGCTTCTTCGCCACCCTTGGTGTGAACAAAAAAAGGACTTGCCATGGAGTGCTGTACCGCAGTTGGGGGAAACATCCAAAGCCTACAACGGGCTCTTGTCTGGCTGAGTCAGGGTCTGCATCCACTCACCCCTAACCTTCCATCCCCTGGCTGCCCTTGGGCAGAAGGAGGCTCCCTTGACCTTGGGCTGCAGCCTACCATAGTCAGGAAAATTCTGGGGGATCCAACTTAACTGAAGAGGGCCAAGCAGGAGAAGGGGCTAGGAGCAGTTCCCATTCCACAGCCAGACACAAAGGTACACCGAAGGCTTGTTTTCAGCATCCCCATTAGTCTGGGTACATCTACTTCATGTGCACTTACCAATGTGCATGCATCTCAACTTCAGTCACTTAAACGATGCCCTGGGCAGGTTGCCAATCTGGGCAGTTCAGGAGGCTCGAGTGGGGATTAGGAAAAGGTTTAATTCCCAGCCCCCATATTTCATACTAGATCCTACAATGTTCTTGTTGGTTCTCAACCTGGGCCCGGGTTAAATTTAAAACTCAGGAGTCGATGTCAACAAACAGTTGCAGGAGAAAGCACGCTCCTGTCTCCTTTGTCAACTGCGATCCCACCATTTAAAACTCTGCTCAGGCCCTGTGGTCCCCTGTAGAGAAATGAAGCTGGAATCATGGGCCACATGGAGTCTCCCAGAGTTGTCCCCGCCTGAAGGGCCCCTGGTGGTCAGTACTTTCACAGGTGGCCCCATCTTACCTCAGGTGACAAGAGTCCTCTCGAGGCGGGTGAGAAGGAGGCTGTGCCATGTTGCCTGCTTACCCGGGCTGCAGCTAGAGGATGCCTTTTCCAAACTGCATGTGGCCCTCATGGAGTCTGAGATTGGGGCCTGTCATGCTCTGAGTAGATTGAAACTTGGGCCATGCTTCTTATTGAACAAGTTATACCTCCTTCCTGCTGGAGCTGGAGAGAACAGTTAGAGAGTCGCCGTGTTCCCTCTTACACAGGACTGGGTGTGTGTGAACCAGAAACTGAGACCCACAGTAAGAAAACCACTGGCGTGGTTTCACTGAGAAAACAGATAGCCACTCTGTGTGGGGGGCATTGCCCCCTGTACCTTTTCTTTTCTCCTTTGCATTCAGTCATAAAGGAATCCTCCCCGCACCAACCCCTTTTGGTCTGTTATGGGGATATCTCCAAGTAATGCTTAAAACAGGAGAGTATTTTTTAGCTTAAAATTCAAAAAGAGATCAGTGGCTAAAAGAGCAGCAGTGTCCCCTGTTCCGAATGCCTTGGAATCTATTTTCTCCAGTTTAAATAGCTGGAAAGTCACTCCAAACCTCGGGTGCTCTTCTTGGCAATAGAGAAAAACTGCCATAACAACAAACTTGGAAATATACACATCCCTAAATTGAACTGGCCTCGTGCCTTCTGTTTTAAGCATACATCACAAGTCAAAATGAATTACATACAAATCCAGTTTGCAATGGTCCGTCACTAACCCACCTCATTGGAAAGAGCAGGGCGGTGTGTGGGTTGGAAGGAGGCCCGTAGTGTCCCTCCTGCCATCTTGGATTGCAGTCGGCCTGCCAAACCTGCCCCACATGGAGTCCACAGCCGCGCAGCTCCTCCACAGGGGTGTGCGGTGGGGGCAGGGGCCACCCTGAGCGGCTGCCGAGGCCCAGGAGACAAGCCGCTTCCTCTAGGCCTCTGAAGTCAATCAAGTGTCAAGGAGCTGTCATCAGGAGAAACTTTTCATAGGTGAACACAAGCAGGATCAAGAGCTGACAGTGGGAATTTTCCAAAGAAATGGAGGGGAAAAAAAAACCAAACCAAACGAAAAAAACTAATAGAGGCCACTCATGAGAATATAGCCAGCAAGAGGCAGGAAGCATTATCAGGTTAATATTTTAATCTGTACATCACATTTTTTTTCTTTTTTTGCAAACCATTACAATTTTATTTAAATTAACTTTTTCTTGCAAAATATTCATTTCATTTTTTCCAACAAAATCTTATAAAGGCAAAAATAAAATCTTATTTTGGCAAATGTCATGAAGTCGATACTGGCAGCATATGGAATTAGTTAAAAATAGACGGCAACTTCTAAATATATTCAAGATTTTTCTTCTGACCATAGTCAAAGACAAATTTTCATTTAAAGTGTGGCTCCACCCAATGGAGTTTTTGTGTGTTTTTTTTTCCTTTAAACATCATTTTCTGTACGCAGACTATCATGAGCTCATGACTTAAATAAAGGGCCACAAACACAGCTTAGCAACCCCGTCCTCATTTTGGGCTGTAAGTCAAGTCCAAGTCCTGCCATCATGGCCCCGCTGGCTGCCGGCCATCAGGGATGGTGGGGGCACATTGCCAGCCCTCCTGCCTTCACGAGGCCAAGTCCTGGGGAAGATGACTTGCGTTCTCCAGGGGCAGGTAGCAAATATCCCAGGCTTCCTATCAATCACAGCTGAGTATGGAGTCAAGCAGTTTAGGTAGATGCCACCCCGTGTGGAGTTTATTGCTTATGATACAATAAAAGGTGCTTCCTCTCACTTTTTCATATTTTAAAGTGTAGTTTTTAAAACGAAAGCAAACTGCTCTTTTCTTTCTGAGAAGAGTCCTTTGCTGAGAGACCCTCATGGGTGGGTTGGGAGCCAAAGTTCTTGAACTCACTTTTGCCCCGAAGCCAAACCCAAGGGTCAAGGCACAGACTTGGGGTCCACACACCATCCCGGTGGAATTTCACACTCCAGAGCTGGCCATCAGGCCAGGTCAGGGATGGCTGCTCTGTGCAGCCAAACGGCCCCTCTTCCCCGAGACTGCACGCCGACAAGCCTAATGCTGGAGTCCGCTGGAAGCACGTTCTCAAAGCCGACCTTCACCTGAGTTCATCGGATGTTGGACTGGCAGCTGCTTGCCCGGCCCTTCTCCCCCCACCCACACCTCGCACCCAATAATACCTGGATCTGTATGTGCAGCTCCAAAGCCTGCATCTTCATCTTCCCAGCCACTCAGCCCTCAGCCCTTGAGGTGAACATTATAAAATATGTTCTGATTCTAAAATACAGTGTCAGTATTTTAGGGTCTATCAAAAGTGCGTTTTTCGTACGTAAAAAGAAGTCTGAACTAACACAAGTCCCGGGCTGGGGATGAGGAGCTGGCCCTGGGACGGACACTCGCAGTTGATGGGCTGTTCCTTCCTCCAGACAGAACCCCTGCTCAGCCGGAAGGGGTTTCCTTGGGGGGAGAAAAGTCAATCTCCTCGGAGGAAGCTGGTTCCCCTGGCTCTAGGCTTCTCCTCCGCGCGCTGGGTCACGGGTCAGTCACTGCCTGGGCTGGTAAAAAGCACAGGGGACAATGAGAAACCGGCAGGACCCTGCCCACATCTGGCGAGCAGGCAGTGGGCATGTCTGCACACACAGGTGACAGGGAATAGCAGGCTGACAGACAGAGAGCAGCACAGCAGAGGGCTGGGGCAATGCGGCCGCCGCTGGGGGACCCTCGGCGTCTAAGACTCACAAGCGCTGGGCCCCCACCCTCCCTCCACCCCTACCACTTCTGGGAAGGCTGCCAGACACATGCCGGCCCCTACAGTGGATCCCTGCCCTGACAGAGGAAAGAAGACTCGGGTCCAGTTCTGGCCTTGCCCTTCCTGCACTGAGAGACTTGGGGTAACTCTCTCGGCCTCCACGGGCCTTTTTGTTTTTTTAATCTAAAAAATGCTCCTAATGAGAATTCTTTGAGGGTAAGAGAACATGTGGATGTGCTCTGAAAAGAGCTGGAAAGGCCTATTTCCAGTCATGGGGCCCCCGAAAGCTGGGAGGAAGAGAGCCTGCCTCCTGCCCCTCTACGACTTTGTGTCACCACACTCAGGTCTCCAGGAAATACACACACCCTACGGTGGCCCCAGGAGGCCCCTGCAGCCTTTACTAAGAATCCAGCCGGAGGGCTTCCCTGGGGTTCTCCACTCACAGGGTCTCTACCCCACACCTCCCGAGAGCCCGCCCCAGCAGGCCTTCTACCCTCGGGCTGGGCAAGCCTGCTGACACTGCTCCAAGGCTGGGGGTGTGCCCAGGCTGGCAGACACCTGCCGAGAACCACGCCCCCCGCCCTCTATGCTCACACTGTCCGTCCCTCACTTCACTCCCTTGTCCAAACACCTGGAGCTCCTGGGGATGCCCTGAGGAGTCCACGGGTGGGGATGGAGAACAAAGATGGAGAACAAAGACTCTGAACGTGCACCCGAGGGGTTCAAACCCTGGCTCTGCCGCTTGCAGCTGCCACTCCTTGGGCAAGTCCCTCAAGGTCTTGGAGCTTCGATTCCTCAGCTGTGAAATGAGGGTGAGTATCTTTACAGGGTTGTTGTGTGGATCGAAGGAGATGCTTAGCACAATGCCTGGCACAGGGTAGGTACTCAACATTAAGCATATATAACAAGAGGGGGAAACCCTACAAAATGATAGCGAGGCGGGGTGTCAGAAAAGCGACAGCTGAGATTTCTGATCTGACTCCTCCTTGCCCAGGTAAGGCGACTGGACCCCAGAGCAAGGGGCCCAGGCTAAGAACTCACCGCAGGACTGGGTCAGACACGGGCCTCCTGACTCCCGGTCCAGTGCGCCTTCCTTAATTTCACACTGCCTCTTGTCACTAAGTGCTCACATGGGGAAGGCTCCGAGGGCTTGAGCAGGAACCTTCTGAATGGCTGAGGGCCAATTCCACATCGCCCTGGGTGGCCTGCCCCGGAAGCTTCCATCCCTCTCCATCCTAAGGTGCTCACGGGACTGGAAGGGCAGTCCTAGTCCTTGCTCGGGCACCAATTCCATGGGACCTGGAGTGAACCCCCATCCCTTCACTGGGCCCCAGTTTCATCATCTGTGAACTGGGCTTTTTTCAGTCATCCAGTTCTTTGCTTTCTTTGGCCAGAACCCCTGAACGGCCAAGATCTAACCCCTTCTTTCTGACTGTCCCCAGTCCCACCCCGGGGCTGGCAGGCGGGCCTGCACGGATCCCTTGGGGCGTTCTCCTGACTGTGGGAAGGAGAGCAGGGTGGTGAGGGGTGCCGTTTAGTTCTTGAGATTTCTGGGAGGTGGGGGACTTGGATCTATTGTATTGGAACCACTGAGGTGGAGTTCCTAAAAACATCAGTCCCCCGCCTGCCTACCAGGCCAAGGTGGTCTCCCCAGCGGCCGCTTTGCCCATGGAGGGAAGCGTCAGCAGGTGGCACTGCAATCATCTCAGCAGAGGAGGGAGAAGAGGGGGCATGCTCAGCACTAAGGGAGGGGGGCACGCCAGGCAGGGGCTCTTACTTGGAAGGTGTTAGACAAAGGTGTAGTGGAGTCCGTTGCTTAAGGGGGGGTAAGGTGGCACGGTCCTGGCGGACAGGGGGGCTTTAGGCGGGAGGAGGACCAGCTGCTGCGCTAGACGGGCACACAGGAATTAAGCGGTGCGTTAGGCTCTTCGTCTGCTCCCACAGCACCAGACGCCCCACTTGGCAGAGCCCAGGGTGGCATGGGCCCCACTGCCCACCATTAATGGCCTGGGCTTGGGGGGCATCTCTATGGGGCCTGGCTGAGATTGACCTGCAGATCCCAGCTATGTCTCCGGGGTGGGGAGAGGGAACAAGAGGGAGGAAAGGCTGCAGCAAAGGTGGCCACTCAGCGGGGGTGTGAGGGAGGCCCTGCTGACTGAGCGGGTGTTAGATTTGGGGCCTGCTAGGAAGCTGAGGATGGTAGGTCCACGTGGACAGAGCAAGCACCAGCTGGACAGGAGGGCACTTACGGTGTGGGGGGAGTGCCCCCACTGGAACCCTCGACATGGGGAGGAGCTCCAAATTGCTGAGGTGGGCCACAGGGAGCCCCCAAGATCATTAGGAGGAAGGGTCTAGGTGAGCCATCTACTGTCTCCCCCGCCACAGAAAGCCACAATGACCATCTCTCAGCCCACTCAGCATGTCCTCACAGGGAGTCAGGACAGCAGGATTTCAGGGACTCTGTGCAGGATCAAGGCATGGGGCTGAGACCTTGGCCCCTCCCCTTGTTGTTGGTCACTCTCATGAACATCTTAAGCAGAACTTAAAGCTCTGCTCCCCACACCAGACTCCCCAAGGCCAGACACCTCAGGGCACTGCACCCTTGGTCACTTATAGATCCTTTGTCCAGGGCTGGAAGACTGGTGGCGACTGTGACACCACTTCAGGCTCTCTGACCACCCCTTCCAGAAGGTCTAGAGCACACGTGCCAAGGGCACCACCGAGTCACACAGTGGCCTTTGCATCTGGGGAGAAACAGTACTGGGTAAACTGAGGGCAGAAAGGGAAGGGGAGAGATGGGCAGAGGAAGAAACCAGGAGTCTCTTTCCTGGATGAGAGAGGAAGCCTTTTTACACACGCACAAGTGCTTGCAGGCACAGGTGCACGCATGCACGCACACCCTCCCATCCCATGGTGTTATTTTTTCCCCACTGGCCAGCAAAGACCCACTTCCTAAGTCCTATTTTCTGGCACAGGTCACGCTAAGGTGAACAGTGGTTTTGATTTAGGGACCAAAGCAGGGGTCCCAGGGAGGGCTAGAGGGCCCCATTCTGCCTTGTCCCAGCAAGAAATCCAAGCACCAACCAAACCATAGGCTCGATCCTTCGGCTCAAAGGCCTGAAAAACCTGTTCTTAACCCACATAATCTCAGAGAAGTTGAGTAGCAGCATCACTCCCAGATTTCAGAATGAGCTGGAGACCCCCTCTCCCAGGCCTCCATGCTCTGACGCTCCTGAGTTCCTGTTCCCCCAGCGCCTGGCCTGCCCCACATCACCTTCTGAGCCCTGTCATGTGCGTGGGACAGGAGAGGACAGGAGAACACACCACTGGCCCTCAGCTACCAAGCCTGACACCTGGCTTTCCACGGACTCCTTGACAGGTCTTGCTGGACCCTGAGCCTCAAGGGGCCGTGAGCAGGACTCGGCCTTGGGGGCTGGCTTCCACGGCCTCACCTGCCACCAGCTTGCTGCGCTGGGAGGCCTCGGAGGCCAGGGCGTAGGAGATGTTGATGATGCGCTCCTGCTCCTGCAGCTGCGAGTCCAGGTCGGCCACGCTGTTCCGGTCCTGGCCTGAAGTCGGCTGCAGATTGCACATGCTGCAGGAGGGCCAGAGAGCAGGCTGTGAGCCCCCACCACGCCCGACCCACCTCGGGAGGGGAGCGTCTTCCTGGCTGGGAGACTTTCATCTTTTTAGGGGGTATCAGATAAAAACGGTGTACTTTCTCTCTAGACAACGGTGTAGGTGCTTTTCCACAGATAATCGCAGCTTTGTTCCTCATTTGGGGGGGTGGGAGTGGGGGGAATCACAGACCTCAAGAGCTCCAGCTGTGGACTCCTATTAAATCCAGATGTGAAATGGCTAGCTTAGTTCTGATAGGGAGGCCCTCAAACACCAGGTTTACGTTTCTGAAGCTATGGAGGCTGAGGAGACAGGAAAGCTACTTCTAATGGCCCTGTCATGGACCTCCAGGGACATGGGCAAGGCCCCTGGCACCTCAGGATAAGGTTGGGGTCCCTGGCTCTGGTCTATGGGTCTGTATGAAGGAACACGGGCCCTAACACTGGGAGCCCCAACTATGTCCACTTTACCGCCATACTTGGCTCCACTCCCCACATTGCCAGGGTCACGGGACATGGGATGAGCCTTCTATGTGTGTTTCAGCAATTCCCAGATAACCTAGGCAAGCTTCCTTGCTGATCTGCTGGTGACATGCTGAGTTCCTTGCAATGAGGAGGCCTGGCAAAACACACACCCTAGCCAGTTTGGCCCAGGGCACACTCAACTGACTCCCCCCCCACCCGCACCCCATCCCAGGGTCGGGCCTAGCGGGCTGTCGGGACTTGGGCAGCGCGAGTACAGACCTGGACCGGGCAAGGATGTTGCGGATCTTCTCGGCTTTGCGATACCGTGCCTGCAGCTCCTCCAGGCTTGGCGGCTCTTCAGGGTCCAGCTCCACGTATCGCTCGGGGATGGAGACCTTCTCTGGTTTGGATAGCTGAGAAGAGAACCAGGAGGCGATGGAGGGAGGCTCAGAGGTTTGGGTTCAAGACCCGCTCCTGCACCCTGTCCCCCACCATGAGGAAACACACGTTGCCCGCAGAGGCTCAGTGACATGCTAAGAGCACGACTGCCTACTGTGGAGTGGGGACCTGAGTCCACAGCCCGTGTTCCGTCCACTACACCAGGCAACCTCCTACAGGCCGAGGGAAGGGGGTCGCAAAATAACTGGACTGGCAGCCCTCAGGATAGAAATGACCATCCCTCATGCCACCCTCAACGGGATCTGACCCCTCCCAGCCGCTCCAGCCACACTGCCCCTCCGTGTGGCCTCTGCCCCTGCTCTCTCTTCTGCTTGCAATGCTCTTCCTTTGCTCCACTGACTCTTTCTCATCAGTCCAACCACACCTCCAGAAGCCTTCTCTGACTGCACCCCACCTGTCCATTATTCCCTCCTATTTTCTGTTTGTCTGTCCACTGTCTGTGCAAGGACCTGGCACTTAGTAGCCCTTCAGCAAATACTCCTTGGATGGGTGGATGGATGGGTAGCTAAATGGGGGGTGGGGTGGGGAGAGTAGGTGTGTTGATGGAGGGATGGCTGAGTGGATGGCTGGGTGGTTGCATGTAAGGAAGTGATAGTGCTTTCTGTCCCTACAAAAGCTCCTCCAATCTAGACAGGAGGCAGCCATGCTGATCTAGTGCTCTCTGGAGGAAAATGGCTCCAAATCCTCCCCACCCGTCTCTTACACGAACCCAGGAGCAAACCCAGCTTGGTGAAGCCTCGCTTGGGCTAAGGATGCTAAAGGCATCTTTTGCACAGCCAGGGAAGTGTTTTTCCTCCTTGAACTACAACAGCACATTAAAATGGGGTTGGTTGAAGCTTCTAAAAACAAGCTACATCTAATCCCTGGGCAAATCTGGACTTCAATTGAAACCTAGGCAGCCCTTTCATTCTGGTGAAAGATGGCACGAATAAGCTCTTCTCTGTTGTTTCCAATGAGGGCAGATCCAGGGGAAGGAAGTAGATTACATTGTAACAGGAGGGATTTAGGTTAGAGATAAGGAAGGACTTTTCCCCCTGGCTGGCAGGCCAATTAGAACACTATAGCACTCACTTTCATTGCCAAGGCAACGCGTGGAAGCTTCTTTTGTGAATCTGAGAAAGCACAGACCTTTGGCTATTCCCGAGATGCCAAAGGGAAAAGGTCTGAGGGCATGGAACCCATTACCCCTGGGAGCCCCAGCTGACCCCAGCACTCACTGTCCATAGGTGTCAATTTGCCCCCAGACTGCTAATCTATCCTTCATGCAGTGAGAGCATTTCCTGTTATGCAGTCTCAGGACAAGCAAGTCCTCATACAAATGTTTCTAGGATATCTGTGGGCCACTGTGTATTTCATTCAACAGAGTCGTCAATTCAGTACATATTTACAGAGCACCTACCATGTGCAGGCCTGGTGCTAGAGGCACAAAGGAAAACCAAACAGCCATTAGACTTTGCCCAACGGAGCTTACAAATGACACAATATAGGCCACAGGATACCACCCTATGTCTTGAAGACACTGAGTCTGTCACCCTCGCTCTCTTTTTCTTCCCCTGGGTAGAGAGACATTCCTAATTGGTAGTGGTTACTTTGCTTTCCTGGGCCTTCCGGTAATGATACATTTGAGCCACCAGAGGGCGCCAAAAGAATTCAGACCAGAACTACGCGGGCCTCCCAGCCTCTGCCATGGCTGGAAATTTCACCTGCGATGTTCAAACCTGCAACCCCTTTTCCCTAAGTCTGATTGCCCAAGTCGGCCTGACTGGGCCAGTTGCAAGGCCAACCCCAGGTTTTCCAGGGAACATTTCGTAACAATAACTACCTCGTCACGTGCCCACTATGTGCCAGGCCCAGTGCTCATGGCCTTCTGTTCATTGCTAATCAGCAGGGCAACACACTGAGTGCGTTAACTCTCATCACAACCCATTTTACTGTCGAGAAAACCGAGGCACAGAGAAGTTAAATGACTTGTCCCAAGTTACAGAGGGATATAGGTTTGAACTTGCATCAAAACACTGGGCTTTTATTGCCTCAAGCTGCTTATCCAGTCTGTCTCCTGGGCCACATGGAAGCTGAGCTGTCCCCATCTGGGACAACACCCCCCAGTGCCACTGGAGGGTGGGTCAAGCTGGAAGCCTGAAGGCCATGCCTCACCTCTCTGCTGATGTCCAAGTCATAGTCCTGTGGTTCCAGGTCCAACTCAGTGACAGGAATGGCCTGCACTTTCAGCCAGCCATTCTCCTCCTTGTCCTTTCTCTCCCCTTGCACGGCCCGGTCCAGCAGCTGCAGGTCAAAGTCCTGCTCACGCTTCCACTGGCAACAGAACAAGAGGGTTAAATGTAGGTATTTCCTGACTGCTACAGGAGCCGCACAGGCCACCTTTAGGATGGGCCCTGCAGGCCCTGGGGTCCTTGGGAAGATGCGCCTGTGACCCACTAGGGAAAAGCTGTGTGACCATGGGCCTCAACTTCCTCATTTCTAAAACAAGGCAACAGTGTTACAACACATATAGTCCCTGCTGTCTCTCTCTGTGTAATGGAGAATGATATAGATGACCTGATTCCATACTGATTTCTCTCTGATCTGAGTCCCTCGAGGGTTCAAACAGGCACCCCCAGGGCACAGGTTGAAGACCCACGACGTTAGACTCACAATGGTCCCCAGGGATACAGGAGGCTCCCAGGTCCAAGAGGGTGACCCTAAAACAGAACCTGACACAGAGCTCCAGAGAAGGGGTTTGCCCCGTCTGCTGCCCCACAATCATGGCAGCCTTTCTGGTGCGGGAGCCCTATGTCTCAGCTCAGAAATAATGGAAGAAACAAGTGCTTGGAGACCCTGGTAAGCAAGTGGAATAGCCAAGAGCCTCTCTAATGGGTACTCCCAGCAGGATACACGTGGGGGCCTTGCACCCACAGTGGGCCTGGGGAGGTCTAAGCAGCAGCAGTAGCAGCAGCTTGAGGCCAGTGAGGCAGATAAACTGCTGAGTGTCATGGCATCTATTTGAGGCAGATGTTTCCTTTACTTTAGAAAGAAAACAATGTATACTTGAAATGCCAAATCAGATGCAGCGTTTCCAAAGCTGTTACTCAGCATTAACCTTTCAACAAATGTCTCCTTACAGAGGGAACCTCTAAACGGCTGTTTAAGATCCAAGCACCACTGTGAGGCCCCGCGGCAGCCTTCCCAATTGCCTGTGGCCTGCATCCTCACAGGCCTTTCGCACTGAGCAGGTTTTGAAAGGAAGGAACAGGCTCGAAGCCGCTCTTCTCTTGAGTAGAAGCCAAGAAGATGGTTCTCCATTCCAGGTCACCCCCTCCCTCCCAGCCTACCCACCTCACAGAGCCCCAAGCGGTCACAATTGTCCTTAATGACCCCTCCAGGCCCCCCAAAGCTCCCAACCCATAGCTCTGTCAGCACATTTCACCCATTCATGCACAAGCTCTCCATACAGGTTCCAAATCAATAGAATCACCCTTAGGTGATGGTTTCCAATCACAGGATGAAAGGATTAGGCAGTTGACATGTCAAGGATGAAAAATTAATTTAATGATTCACAAAGAAAAAGCACATTTTCTTACACGCTCACAAGTGCCCCAGATAGAGACAAATCCTCATTTAAACCCAGCCTGATTGTTTCCACAAACAGAAAAAAATTCACTAGACTCTACGGTATATCCTGGGGAAGAACCATGCCAATCCATTATCATTCAGCAACACGTTTATTGGCGTTGATACAGAGACTTACACGAGTCTTTTTTTAAGAGAAAAAAATTACAAGGTATTCAAGTTACGATGTTTAGATCATCGTTCTACATTTGAGACATCAGGTTGTAAAAGGTGTCAGTTAGCCCACATGACATTTGCTTATAAGGTTTAGAAGTTACCGGCTTTGCAGCTTTTCAGGATGCGTGTCCTGGGTTCTTACCCCTTTGGTGTCTGAGCTAATAGCTGCAGAGAGGACCTCTGGATACAGAACATATCTTGCTGTCTGTTCAAGTTATTAAATACTAGCAACACAAAAAGTTTTCCATAAGAAATTGCGCAGTGGGACTGGAGGAATTAAAAACAAACCACCTTAGACTTCGTAGATGTATTCAAATGTACAGTCTCTGAAGTCCGTGTCTACTGTCCAGATGTAAGGCACGGGCTTTGATAAATTCGTAATGCCCAGATCTCTGCTAATGACCACAGCCCTCGGGCAGCAGATTGGCTCAGTCTTGTGGGGTGGCTTTGGGGATGAGTGAATTATGAGTCAGTAGGCCTGCATGAGGGGGCCAGCAGAAAGGTGAGTCACGCATGGGAGTGCTCGCTAGGCTATGGAGACAAGAGCTGCTATTATAAGCCTGGTAACAAAGAGCACAGGCCAGTTAGAGAATGTTCAATGCAAATTAGAAGCTTCTGTAAACACAATCAGGCGGATTAGAGAGGCAACGAGCGGTAACACTAAAAGCAAAAGAGCTTGTGCAATGAATTAGGGAAAGAACAGTCAGGCTAGAGGTCTAGGGGAACACTTGATTTCAAACAACGGAAATTTTTTTTTTTTAATTGAAGTTCATTGGGTCTCCAGTGGCTCAATCGGTTAGCACATGGTACTTAACGGAAAATTCAAACGAGATGTTTCCAAAAGGGACCTAAGGCGACTGTGGGCAGGGTGCAGTGCCAGAAAGCACCTCCAGGGGGCAGCACAAATTCCCTGGCTCTCCTGGGGCACCGTGAGGCCTGTCAGCACCACAAGCGGTGGGAAACCACGGCCCTGAGTCGTGGAACGTGACCCACAGGGCATCCGTGTGGAAGTGTGGGAGGCTGGTTGGCTTGTGCTCCTCCTCATCAAATCATATCACCGTCTTCTTCCTTCACTCTTCGAATCCTTGAACCCCGTACATATCCCCAAGTCCTTGATTCAGCTGAGACTGAATGCCTACAAAGGCCTCGTTCAAGCTGAGCTCAGAGAACTAACTTTGGACACTTTCTCAGGCTCCTATGCTCCTGCCGTGACATCCTCACTCCTGTTCCGGTTCTGGGTCACCCTCTGACCAGGTCACTGGTGGGTCCTGGTGTGTGGACAAAACAGCCTCGGGGGTGTTCTCTGAACCATCTAGGTCAACGGCCCGCTCTCGCAGGGGCGGGACGTGTTTGTGTTTGGGGGACTCGCGGCAGCTCGGATCCCTGTCCCAGCCCCGCCTGCCTGGACCCTCCTAACATACTGAGCCGAGATCTCCCGGGAGCGGCTGGCTGAGGTAGCGGGACGAGGGCAGGCTGGCCCTCTCTCCTTGGCTCAGCGTCTTCTTGCGCTCCCGGACCAGCGCCTTCTGGTGCCGCTTCATGCGCTCCAGCTGCTCCTCCGCGCTCATCTTGCCCCGCTGGTGGTCCCCTGAGTACAGGCGCTCCAAGGCACTCTTGGGTCTCTGAGAAGGAAGAGGGTGAGAAACAGGGCAGCTGGGCTGGGCACACAGAGGGCAGCCACCCCGCTGACTTCATGACTTCATCCCCATCCTTTGTGTGTGTGTGTCTCTCCCTCACTGTCTCTCTCTCGCTGGGCTCCTTTCAGCCATAGAGAGCCAGTTCCTCTAAGCACACTCGTGGCCATGATACCCCTGGCCCTCACAGGATCTCTGGGGGGTACCCCATTCTGCAGATGCGGACTCCTCATGTGATGAGGTCAGGACTCAGGGTGCAGATTTCCGGGGCTCCCTCCTGTGAGCCTGACAGGTTGGGGAGAAAGGTGGTGGTGGTAGGGAGGGGGGTCATCAGAAAATAGAAAGGGCCGCGTGATGCTCCTCTTGGTGGGCAGTGGGGAAGCCAGCACTGAAAACATGGAGCTCAGGAGGGACTGGGTCATCTCAGAGGCCATCCCCAGGGCTCACAGGGTGGCCAGTCATCATCTACCTCAGAGCCCTTCCCCCTGTGTGATAGGGAGCCGTGAGCTCCTTGGAAACGTCTCAAGGCCACTCACAGGGAAGGTCATCTTGCTGCTTTCGGGATTCAGACCCCTCCGGAGGGTGACGTAGGGAGCAATGGTGGACGACTGCTGGAGCCTGGATGTGGACCCTGAGAGCCCTTAGTGAGGAAAGAGAAATGCAAGTGTATTTGTGGGGGGGTGGACAGGCCAACAGCCCCTCCCTAATCACTTCCCACTCCTGCGAGGGGACCACGAGGGCCCAGCCAACTACCTACTCTCTTCCTCCGCAGGGCCTGGAAGAGCAAGGCCCCAGGGAGAGGAGGGCTCTACCTGTCCTCTGTCCCCAAGGGGAGACGATGCTCCTATAGATCTGTGGGCTCCCCTACGCTTCCCTCACATGCAGAAGACCGGGGCTGTTTGGCAGGTGGAAAGGACAGAGGGGTAGTAATGCCCGCATCCCTTCTTTCTAATGAACTCTCATGCATCCTGCATGACCCAACTCGGATGTCCTACCTGTGTGCAGGCCTCTTAAATGCCCCAGGTAGAACTGGTTATCCCCTGTATCCCTCAGTATATTCACTGGTTACTGCAATGACCACCGTGTCAACATGCCTGTCTAAATAGATTGCAAATTCAACAATACCTGTTTGTCTGACCGACTGAATGAGTAAATAAATGCAGGGAAAGAAGGTGGCACCAAGCATTTACTTACTAAGGTTTTACTTACTAAAAACCTTATATAGGTTTTGTCCCACTGGCCCTACAAAGTAAGCATTACTTGACCATTGTAGAGTTACACAATGTTAGGCTCAGAGTGGGTAAGAGACTTGTCCAAGGTCACATGGTAGAAGCATCACTGACCACGTGTTTCCTGTGTCTGAGTCCTATGGCTTCAAGGAATCATGTCGCCCTGCTTGGCTGGTGTTACAGCCTGTGCTTTCTCCACTAGCAGAGATTCTTATTAGGGGTGGTCCCTGACAACTGAAAACGGGCATCCTGCTGACCGAGGACACCACTAGCACTTAGCACGTGGGAAAGAATCACAAATGCCTTGCAATGCCCAGAGAATTCTGAGCAACAAAAATCCGTCCTGCCCAAAACCAATACTGCCACTGATCAACAATTCTAAGTCCATCGTGAATGAAAGGGACAGGACCCCTGGTCACAGGGCCATGGGTTGCCATAACCTCGACTCAGCAAAATCCAGAGCCTATGCCTTGCAGGGGCCAGCTCAGGACACAGCCAGCCTAGACAGTGTGGTAGGCTGGGGGTCACACAACCCCACAGGTGCTGGAAGCACGGCTGAGCGTTCTTCCGCTTCCACACCTGCCCAGTGGCGGAAAGCACTTGACCTTCCACCTCGGGAAGCAGACAGGAGGAACATGGTCTGCCTGCACAGGGGTTGCAGGAGGCCCAGATGCAGAAAGGACGGGAAGCCTCCCTTGAAGAACATTTCTGAGAAAGAGTGTCCGGCTCTGGGGAAAATGGGGTACAGGTCAGCCTAAGGACCTAAGTCTGCTCCCATCCCCATCTTGAAGGGACAGGGGAGGATAGTAAGAAGCAGGCCCAATTGAAAAGAAAAGTGTGTTTGCTTAAAGGACTCCTTGAGTCTCAGAGTGACACAGAAGAGGAAATGACCCTCTGAAGACCCAAGGTGCCCCCCCCCATAGTCACTTAATATCGCAGCCTGCAGGGTGCAGTGGCTCTGGGGCCAGAACCCTGGGACTCTGTTCGGGCTCCATCACTTACTAACTAATTGGCAAGATGCTTAATTTCTCTAAGTCCTAGTTTTCTTATCTCTAAAACAAGGGTAATAATCGTTCTTCCCTCATGGGATTATGAATATTAACTAAGTGACTGTAAAGTGCTTAACACAACACAGTGCCGAGCTTTACAGTAATTGCTATTATTTCCAGGAAGAGATGTAATAAAGGGAAAGGGAATCTGGATGTGGGCCAGAGAAAAGGAGGACAGGCCCTCTCCCTGCAGCCCAGAGCCCCCTGACAGCTGTGCCTACGTCACGGCTCCAAGTTGCAGGCAGAAGGGTGAGAGGTGCGGGGTGAGGGTTGGGGAGCAGTGGATGGCAGTGCTGGGGGTTCCCAGAAAGCCTCCATGGAGAGCGTTGCCTTACCTCTGCCTGGCAGCGTCTGGTACCTGTTCTCAGGACCCACGTGTCCCAGGGACGGCTGGGCCATATCCCCACTGAAAGTCGTCAGCTCAGGCTCACTAACGTATGACCGGAGCTCCACCTGTGGGCAAAGTCTGAGGCAGTCATACCTGCCCAGCATGTCACCTTCCCACTCCGCCACCCACAGCGGGGCAGCCCCAGGGCCTCCCTGCTCACCCTTGCGTCCCCGTTCACACACTGGCCCTGCTCCCGGTCTCGCTTCCTCTCGTCCGACTGCCGCTTGAGGCCCCTCACTGAAGTGTGCCGGATGATGGTGGCCTCTCTTGGCAGAGGAGGCACAGCCGGTGGCTGGTCCTCTGGGCTGTAGAGTTCAGGGAGTGGGGGCCTGGGAGGTGCCTCGTCTTCCTGCTCAGAAAAAGGACCAGAACCAGTGCTCAGTGAGAGGGAGCCAGAGGGAGGACGCCAAGTGGCCCCACCACAGTAGTGGCCTAAAGGGCCGGAACAGGCCACCTAGGGCCTGCGGAGCACGGCCACTTCAGCCCAAAGATGCCAACATGTTCCCTGGCTGAGCTGTAAAGAAGGGGGACGTCTGTGACCCAACTCCATTCTCCCCTTTGATTCACACATTTTCCATTTTTCAAAGCACCCCCAAATCCAGAACTCAGGTCTCCCAGGCCCAGGCCCTTATTCCACTTGCTTGGAGAGCACTATAGGGGAAGCAGGCTGGCAACTCGGCACTTACTGCTAACTCTATGACAGCACCCCCACACGCCCCACAGAACAAACGTCTGCCCCACTCCACCATGCTCACACTGAGCTGCTCACTGCCCCTGCACAGTCTCAGGGTCCCTCAGCAGGCTGGAATGCTGCGCAAGGACAGTCTTTCTCCTCCTGCCCCGTCAGAAATGTGAGAGGTTATAAAATATTGCCTCCCTCCTGAAAGGTGGTCAGGATGGGTGACTCTGCCTGCCTCTCGGCCCCTGCCCAGGGGATGATGAATGTCACTGTTTTCCTCAAAACCCCCAGTCTGCAACACTCTCTGAGGGCTGTGACTTCTCTACATATCAACAGCCTGGCCTCCCAACTGCCATGGACACCTACTCCTGGGACAAATGACCATCAAGACACCTTGCTCCTAAACGCCCCTTTCTTAACTCTCATTCTGTTTTGTTTTTCAGAATTTTGCAGAGTTCAGGAAAGGGTACTGCAAGCTCACCTTGCAAAGGTGTATCAGCATTCTTCCAATGCAACATATGTTGTTATTGTGTGAAAGTTAAGCTGCCTTCCCAAGATACCCACTGGAGCTCTGAGCACCAGCGATTTCTAACCCTGACAAGATCATGGAATCACCAATTTCTAAAAAGCTCCCCAGAAAGAAAACACAAAACATTGATTGCCTTTGAGTGAAGGGAATAGAATGTCTGGAGACAGAAGGTGGGAGAGAGACATTTTATTATTTTTATTTATTTATTGATTTTGTGCCTTTGAGAATATTATCTAATAAAAAAGTAAATGACATTAAATTCAAGAAAATGAGCCAAATAAAAATGAAAGAACTATAGTTACATGCAGCAATGTGGTTGAATCACACAAATATAATGTTGAAGAAAAGATGCAAGATACAAAAGAATAAATATAGCATTATATACAGGCAAAATTAAAGTGTTTAGAGATGCCAACATAGGTAGCAAAACTAAAAAAAAAAAAAAAAAAGCAAGGAAATTGTCCGAAAAGTCAAAATAGGTCAAGATAGCAGTTACCTCTGGCAAAAAGGGTCTGCCCTGGGAAGGGGCCCACAGGCCCAAGGGTTTCTGCTTGTTGCAAAGCTCTCTTTCTTGGTCTGGGTGTTGGTATAACATGGGCGGTGACTTTATTATTATTTGTTAAATTATTTATTCCTGTTTTATGTCAATTTCACGATGAATATCATTTCACAAAACAAGCAAACAGTAATTTTAAAAAATGGTGAAGCTGGTGAACACACATGCATTACAGGAGGGGAGAGAAGACCCTGGTGACCCTGATGCTCACCCAGCTGGAAAAGCCCTGCCCCCAAGCCACAACATTGTCTATTCAGAGCTGCTTATTGGGCACAAGGGGAAACTGAGGAGGTTCAGAGACAGGATGCACCTTGTCTCTCAAGGACCCAGTGAGAGAACAAGGGCTGGATTCCAGGAGGTCCACCTCCCAGGCCAGCACCATTTCCCCCTGCTCCTCGTCCTGGCTGGCGTGCACCCTGCCTTATGTCATCAGTCGTGTGCCCCAGCCATTCCTGCTGTTTGTTTTGCGGCCGGTGCTCTGTGCCTCTTAGATCTGGTATTGGGAAGGAGGTCTCAAGATGCAGAAATTCACAATGGCTCTGGATCCTGACACCTGTCTTCCAGCCTCTGGGCTCTGGGCCCTGGACCGTGGCTGGAAGCAGGTAGATGGTGAGGAGTGGGGTATGGGGACTTGTGGGCTTAAGCCAGTGCTGTGCACTACCCTCATCACAGGTCCTAGGCACACGTGGTACCCAAGCAAAGCTTCTCCAAGCCTTTGATGGCAAAATCCTGGAGGTCTCCCTTCCAAGGTACCCTGTACTATGGTTTCCCTGGCACTTGGAACAGACCCCTTGTATTCTACAGCCAAGGCTGGCCTGGCCCTGGAGATAAGAGCTATCATGGTACCTGATCACATCTCTGTCTCCTTAAAGTCTCCTGTGCTGCCAACTCTGCAAAAGGTCCCTCATTATGCCAGGGAAGCCAAGGTATTGGCCCAGGCAACCACACAGGTCACAGACCTACCTGACCTGAGGACCTGGGCTGAATATCCAATTATTGGGTCATCGGGAAAGTCATGACGTATTTTTCTATGTTTTTCAATGCAAAAATGCGTCATGACTTTCCTGACGACCCAATAGACGGGCAGATGGCACAGAGAATGGTCAGGAGATGTGGATTGGATCCACTAACTAATCTGGAGACATTAAGCAGATTTTAACATCTTTGGGATTTAGTTCTCTTATCTGTAGAATGGGGGTGCTGACCCTCCTGTCTATACTCCATAAGCTTATTGCAAAGATCAGATGTATCTACAACCCAGCAGAGTGCTCAGCTGTAGGTGAAGATAAGGATGTTCTTCTGCTGAGATGAGCTCATGGCACGCAGGCATGTGTAACAGCAGGTTTGCAAGGAGCAGCCCCACGCCTCTCAGCACAGTGCACATCACCAATTCCACTACTCAACACAATTACTTCCGCCTCCGTTTTCCCAACTGCAAAATGGGGGGGTTGGGCTAGGTCATCTGTAAGGGCCCTTCTAAATCTGGAAATCTGAGACCCAATAGTAGGGCACTACGACTCCTTAACTTCTCATGGCTCAGGACTCTGGCTGGTTCTGTCTCCATTTCCCCAAAAGCTTCTCTCCTGAGAGAGGCTGACCCAAGGAGAGAGAGAGCCAATCATCTGCCAGACAGGAAACAATAGCGCTCAGTTCTCGGTCATCAATACTTACAACTTTGGGCTTTGTCTTGGTTGGTGACTGAAGAGGGGACGTCACCTTCCTCAGCTGGGGTGGGTGAGGTCGGTAGGGCACATAAGTTTGCAGCTGCGGGAAGAGTCGCACCTCCAGAGGGGTCCGCACAGGGCTGATAGGAGGGCTGGGCTGCGGGGGCGGCTTGCTCTCCAAAGTGGAGAGTGAAGGCACAGGCGAGTGAGGAAACCAAGGCACTGTTTTTCTCTCTAAAGGGAACGGAGGGAAACAAAGGAGGAGATGGAACAAAGGCCCTCTTCCTAGAGGACAAGAGGAAGACCGACCTCCCCAAGGGCCATCCCACCCACCTGGGTGCTGGCCTCCATGGCGACGGCCCACTCACCTGGGTTTTTGACCGATTCCACCAGGAACCTGAAGTTCTCCTTATTTGCACTCAGGCCTGCAATGACATCTTCAATCCTCCAGAGATCCTTCTGTATCTGTGATTTCTCCTGAGGAAGACGAGATGGAGGTTCATGTCCTTCTTAGCTCCTTACCAGAAGTTTCTGCTTAGGACTTATGTTGTCATTTCAGACAAGGCTCTCACTCCAGGGCGGGGGTGGGGGTGGGAGTGGGTAGGAAGCAGCAGCCAGCAGCCCCTTGGGAAACCGCACCAGGGCTAGAACCGAGCCTGTTTGATAGCTTCGTAGGGAAGCGCAGACATGGAAGGTGTCCAAGGCCCAGGAGAGAAATTTCAGGAGTTCTCACCAGTCCAACTTGCCTGTTTCCACCTACTTTGAAAATAGACAGCCTTAAATACTGTACGGTGCCACTTGTATGAGGTACCCAAAGTAGCCAGATTTAGAGAGCAGAGGGTGGGGATGAGGGTGGGGGTGAGGGGGAGAAGTGGGGATTGTGGTTTCATGGGTACAGAGTTCCAGTTCTGCAAGACAAAAAGTTGTGGAGATGGGTGTACAGCAATGTGAACACACTTAACATCACTGAACAGTACACTTAAAAATAGTAAGGTGGTGGGCCGGCTGAGTGGCGCGATGATTAAGAACTGGCTTGGGACGCCAGAGGGCCCCGGTTCGGATCCCACATATGAGGGCCAGTGACACTGCCCTCCACAGCTAAGATGCTGAACAACAGCTCAACTTGGAGATGGGCTGCCATGAGTTGCCAGCGACGGCGTAGGCTGCAGCCCCTGCTGCAGTGGATTGCCATGGGCTACCGTGTGTAGCCAGCAGCCAGCGTGAGCGGCCAGCAGCCGCCGTGAGCGGCCGTCCAGAAGCTGGCGACTGATCTGCCTCGCCCGGGAAGAGCGCAATGATGGTACCTACTTGGGCCAGTGAAGCAACGTCCTCCACAACTAGACTGAAGAACAAAAGGACAGCAACTTGTCTGTTCCCCTTCCCTCAATTCCCCAGCGCTGTTCCCATCCCCCCAATTCCCCAATAAAAATCTTTAGTAAGGTGGTAAATTTTGTTATGTATATTTTACCACAATTTTCCAAAATAGACTGTCTTAGGCAACGATGGCAAAAGGAAAGATAAGGCAAGGACTAGAGGTTACACCATCCCTAGAATATTTTAACAGCTGGCTAAGTCCTGAGATTTTAAGTTTCAGATAAGAGGACAATGGGCAGTGGAAATTATTTGGCAATAAAAAGAAATGAAGTGCCGATGTATGCCACAACATGAATGAATCTTGAAAATATTATGCCAGGTGAAAGCAGCTTTCATTTATATGAAATGTCCAGAATAGGAAAATCCATCAAGGCAGAAAGTAGTTCGGTGGTTTGCCGGAGCACGGTGGGGAGTTGGCGGTGGGCATGGGGAGTGACTGTTAATGGGTACAGGGTTTCTTTTTGAGATGATGAAACGGTTATAAAATTGACCATGGGGATGACTGCACAACTCTGAGTATTCTAAAAACCACTGAATTGTATACTATAAAAGGGTGAATTTTATGGTATGTGAATTATATGATAAAGCTGGGTTTAAAAACAAAGCAATGGGGGAAAAGCCAGGCTATATGACCACATGCACACTCTGACAAGTTACAACCGAAATCGGCCGGGAAGAGGCCCTAGAAAAAAAAGAGGTGAGCGGGGTTTGTCGTGATTAAGGGATTGTGGGCATCTCTTAATAGAGTTGTTTAAACATCAAGTATAGTATTCCTTCCTTTATTATTATTATTATTATTATTATTAGCTGAGTCATCCTGCCACCTGTTGGCAGCTCAGCGGCAGCTCAGCTCAGGCCGGGAATCGAACCGGCAAGCCTGTTGCTCAGAGCTCGCACTCTTGAGCGAGCTCTTAACCAAATGAGCCACTCGGCTGGCTAGTCTTTCCATTTTTAAATGATCATGGGGAAAGATAGCCTTGGTCCTTCCCTCTGGACTTAAAACGGAAGACTTCACATCCCCACCTCCCCTTAAGGAACCCAGTGACCCTCATTTGGAAGAGGTCTTGCATATGTGATTATTTATGGACTTTTCCGATTCTGCAGCTAGACTATGTGCTCCCTGATATATCCCACAGGGCCAGGTCCTTAGCAGATTCTTAGTACATGTACGCATATGCTGAATGAATCAAGGGCCAATCACGTAAAATTCCCTGATCAAATGTCCAACAGCTGTGACAACAGATATCTGAGGCCTCCCTCCTAAGGGGGTTCACGCTGTCATACTCTCCCTACCCTTCCAACACCAACACACATCCTCAGGACTGACGATCAAATAACAAGCTTGACGCTCAGCCCCTTGCTAAAGTACAAGCGTCCTAACACAGACATGTTATTGAGCCCAGAGTATATGTATAAGCTCATGGGATTATCGCGAGAGCTGAGGTCCCCAAGCAGAGTGCTGGGAATAGGTGAGGGAGGGACACGGGATGAAAATCAATTCTCTCTCTCTGCCTCTGGCAGTCCCTGGTAGACTTCCACCTGTCAGTTCACAACCCTACCCCCACTTTTTCTGTTACCCCCATGTGCAAGAGTAGAGAGGAGCAAAGGCCAGAGAATCTCCTTCTCCAAGGGCGATGGAATTTCAGAACTTAATGACAAGCTGAAGGAAGCTTTGGGGAAGCACGGAGGTGGGGTTTCATTTCTGTATCCTCTCACCACACTGGGTAGGAAGGCTCCGTTCCTATGTGCTACATTCAGCAAAGGCTTGGACTCTTATCCCGAACTAGAGACCCCTACAGGTAGCCTCACCTATCACTGCCTCTCACACAGTGAATGTTCTTTGGTCCACTGTCTTCCCTGCCCAGGTGGCCATGAAAATCTTCATAAATAAAGCCACTCATCTTTACCTGAAAAGGCTGTGAATTTTCTCACAGCCAAATCTGGCTAAAGGGAGGCGAGCTTCCAAGCCCCACTACTCAGAGTGCGTGTATGGGGCTGCAACCGTATCCCCAGCATTAATGACTTATTCAGGACGCTCACAGCTTGCCTGGCCTAGAATTACACCAAAGAAGTTAGCACAGAGCCTGCTCAAAGGAGGGCTTTGTGAGTTTCCCAGGTCATTGTGGCATTCAGGGAAAACATGAGCAATGCCACCAAGCTTGGTGGAAATCAAGCTGCAAGGAGCAGGCCTCAAACTGGCCTGTCTCCTAGTAACTTACAGGGCCAAGTTCTCCAGGGAAACTGTGACAAGACCTGTACATTGTACCCATTTGTGTTTTTTTTGAGGGGAAAAACATTTCTGGGCCTGCTGTATATTAAATCATCACGAACTAAGGCACAGTAAAAATACAAATGGCCAATAATCCCATGAAAAGATGTTTAACTTACTAGTAATTAAATAAATGTAAATTAAAACAAGATGTCCTTTTCCAGCAAGTAGACAGGCAAGAACTAAAAAGACTGGTAACATCAAGTGCTGGCGAGGATGCGGGCAGACAGGTCCAGTACTCTCAATCACTGTGGGTGGGAGGGCAAAGGAGTACAGCTTTTCAGAGGGCGACCTGGCGGTGTCTGTCAATACTGAAGGCGTACACTCATGTCAACCCACCAAGTCCACTCCTTGAAGCCCTTCTGAGAGAAATGCTTATAACAATCTTGAAAAGGCAGTTACATAGATGCTCACTGTGGCACCATTTATAAAAGCAAAACACTACAAATAACTTAAATGCTCACCAGAAGAATGGCTACATAAAGTATGGAATATCCAGACTACGAAATTCTACGCAGCAGTTCAGAACCAATTTCATTTCATTTACTTAGACCAACAAATGTCCAGTATAACTTTCTGTGATTATGGAAATCTTCTCTCATCTGTGCTGTCCAGTAGAGTAGCCACTAGCCACCTATGGCTACTGAGCAGCTGAAATGATTCTAGTGTGACCAAGGAATATATTGTTAATATTAACTATAATTAATTCATTTTACTGCAAATAGCTACCATATTGGACAGCATAAACTTGGGGGGTATCTTTCCTGGAAAGATTTCCACAATAAAAGAAAAAAAAAAGCGAGTTATCAAACAGTGTGTAAGTATGATTCCTCTTTAAGTTAAACCCAGCTCCTGCCTCCAAATAAATTATATAGCTCTATGTATGTGCACATGTTTGGAAATGCATAGAAAATGGTCAGGAAGGCAATGCTCTAACTCAGGGATCGGCAAACTTTTGAGACGGAAGAGCCGCCAGGGGTCAGCAAACTGTGGCTCGTGAGCCACATGTGGCTCTGAAGTAAAATTGAAAATGAAAATAAAACTATCATAGTTTCATCTATAAAATTTTTAAAGGGTATTATTCACATAATGGTGATTTCATTTGTTTTATAGGTCTCGCAAAACTTTGAGGGACAGGATTGGCTCTTCCAGGGGTCGGCAAACCTTTGAGACAGAACGTACCCAAAGAGCCGCATGTGGCTCGCGAGCCGCAGTTTGCCGACCCCTGCTCTAACTGATGGTACTCGTTATATCTGCAGGGAAGATGGTGGTCTGGGGCAGAAAGGGGAAGAAGGGAGAGAAGCTTTTGTTTCTTTTTTGGTTTTGCTTCTCATTGTTTGGCCTTTTCAGAGAGACGCATTCATGTGTCATTTGTATATAAAAAGCTAAAAAAGTTACTGCTAATACTAATGTGGCTCGTTGAAGTCCAAGAAGATAGGTACAACAGGACAGGTGAAGTAATTAGTAACTAGAAATAATCGTTTGAAGGACTCTGTCAACAATATTCACCTAGTATTTTCAAGCCACTATGCTAAGTGCTGGGGATACAAAAAAAGAATAGGAAAATGTTTGTTAGCTCAGATGAAGGGAAGTTATCGGACAGAGAACAGCAGCAGCCGCAGGAGACAGGTAAGTTCTGGGGAACCTGGCAGGCCGCCCTGAGCCACAAGCAAGCATCTCCTGCACCTGGTCCTGGTCTGGGCTCCCCGGAACCAGCTCCAAATGGTGCATGGAGGGACAGCAGGGCCTGGGAACAGCCTCCCAGTCCCAACTTCCCGTCCCTTTTCTGGGGTGAGGCTGATGTCCGGAGAGTCAACATATTCATTAAATCACTTGCATGAAGAGCCTTGGTTAGAACTAGTTCATCCATGAGCAAGCCTAGCACGAAAGCTGGCCTACGATGGCGCCTCAGACACAGGAGGCCTCAATCAATGCTTGCTGAGTTCAAATAGATTGAATGTATGCCAGTGCCCGAGAGACGAGATACAGTAGATCTGAAGTTGGGTTCAAAAGCAGGTTCTTTTCCATGTTAAAAATGTTGAGGGTGGGGTGGGAGCCTGGTTGGGCACCACAGTGAGGGAACAGTGGGCAGCTGGAAGACCCGACCTGGAGGAAGAAAAACCGTACAGGGCCTTCCTTCTCTCACCTTTGGGGGCAGAGGCAGCCGGCAACAGGGTGGCCTGGTTTTTAAGGGTAGAGGGAGGGAGGCAGGGCCCTAAGGCCGCCTTTCCTAAGTGGGGCAGGGGCCACAGCGATGGGTATCTCCCAGCCTGGCCTCCAGAAAAGCTAATGACGGCCTAGATCCCAGAGGCACTTGGATGGACTTAGATTCACACTAGCTCCTCAGGTGAAGGCCTGATAACATCTATCTTCAGGAATCAGAGGAAGGAAGTGGGAGGGGCTTCCTGCTGCTGTCTGAATTACTGGCTAGAAACCCAAGATGGGCCAAGAACCAAGGAACACAGGTCGCTCTCAAGTCTCTGTAAGGTTCTCAAGGTTGGTATTTGTGTCCTCTCGGAGCTGTTCTCCCAAAAGCCCAAGAGCTTGTCTCTGAGAGCAGAGGCGAGGGAAACGGGGAGGGGAGGCTGTGCGTCACAGCTTGGCTGAGGGAAGGGATCCCCAAGGGAGAGCTTGGGGTGGCAAGAAGGCTGAGTCCAGTGGAGAAAGAGAAGGCCCTGGGTGGGGCTCGCAGCCCCTACTGGTGAAGGCTCTCAGGAGAAATCAGAGCTCAGAAGGGGTGAAGAGCCCTTGGGTCACCTGGAAAAAAAAGGCTCTTCTGTGCTGCTCCTGCAGGGTCTTCTTCAGCTGCTCCACATCGTTCTCCAACTTCAGATACTCATTCCAGGCATTTTCCATCTCCTGTGGGCCAGGGAGACACTTCTGATTCTTAGCCATCCCCTGCCCCGCAAACGCCCCATGAGCACCTGCGCTCCTGACCACTGCGGGCCCAGACAGGGGAAGAGGGAAGGGGAGCCCCGTGGGTCTCGGGCAGGTCTGGTGAGAGACAGGGGCTGTCTTCTCATTCACACAGTGACCCTGGCCACCTGCACTGTCCCCTCTTCCACCGTTGGGGATGCCGTGGTTCTCAGCCCTAGCACAGAGGGGCCTGTACCACATCAGATGAACAAATAAAGTAGAAATTCTGATGTCTTAGAATTAGCTGCACACAGATCAGGGAATAGCTTTGCAGGCTGCTCTGAGAAGTCTGGTCCTTTGGGTGTCACTATAGCTACCCAGGAGTCACTGATGGAAGGGACTCAAAGGCACTGGTAGAGACAGCCATGTCACCCCTGGACAAGGTAAGCGACACCAGGGGGCAGCCTGGAGAAGTTCTGCAGCTCCAAGACTCTTGCCCGTGGCCACCAATTCAACTATAGCTCGGGAGGCGAGAAAAGCAGCCCCCTGCCCAGCCCTTCCTGAGGGGGAAGTATCTGCCGCCCTCCACACTCTCTACGCACAGTGGACTCTCTAGAGATCTCCGCCCGGATGTGGACGAGGTCTTCCTGCAGCAACCTCTGCTGGTAGGCGATCTTCTCAAGGTGCTGGGGCTGGTCTCGGTACTGCTCCATCTGTCTGTGCAACACCTCCAGCACAGACTCTAGCTGGTCCTGCATGGGGCAAGAGTCACAGAGCAAGATGATAGCAGGACAGTCCCTGGAGGCCCCTGCATACCATGCCAGGAACTAAACAAACCTGCCAGATCTAACTGTGGATGAAGGGGCCAGCATCCAGCTGGGGCCTGAGCGTCAGGGCCTCTGATTCTAGCTCTGACTCTGCCCATTGGGCAGCCTGGGGCAAGTCACCTAACAGTTCTGTGCCTCAGTTTTCTCATCTACAAAATAGGCACAGGGCCATCAATTTATGGGATAAATGATGAGGATAACTCAGAGTCGATGGAAAACCCTTCAAGCTCTTGGGACAAAGGGCATGTTATAAACCTTCAGCATTACAAATATAATGCCTTATTAAAATGCAATAAAGAAAAACATTCACGCTAAGTGTCTAAGAGAGCAAACATCAGTGCCCCCACCATTCCGCCCCAGCCCATTCCTGTCTTCCCATCCAGACTTGCACCCTCCATAGCCCAGATCCTAGAAGAGAAGCAGTTTCAGCAAGTGAGGGTCTCTGACCTGTTATGACGGTGGCTACTTTCTCCAAGGCAGGCCCCCCCTCCTGGGGTTCAGGGGCCTGGGGCATCACAGACAAGCCAGTGGAGCCCCCTTCTCCTGGGCTTATGCACCTCACCAGGCCTCCAGGGAGAGGTGGGCCAGAGAAGAATTGAGGGGGGATGGGAGGATGGGGAGAGGAAGGCAGTGGCACTTGGAATAAGTAGGTTGAGGTCTCCCTACAAGGTTTCATTCAGGTTCAGAAAGAACCCCCCCCCAGAAGCACCCTTTTATCCCAAAGACGTTGCTGTGGATAAACGAACACCTGTTGTTCAATGCCATCCAGTCTATGACTGACAGGGAAGCCCCCACCCCACCCAGCCTAAGATGATGCAAAACTGTTGCATACTTTGTTCTCCTTGAGGGCTCGTATCTTGTCTTCCAAGTCCTGGAGGATCCTGTCTTGTTCACAGAAGACGCTCAGCTTGACCTGTGAGCAAGAACAGGTTGGAGAGGGCCTGGGATGATGAGAAAAGGGCATGGCCTTGCAGTGTTATCAGTAAACCTTCGGCTATAGAACCATCCAGACCCTGCCTGAGACTGCCCACCCTGGGTCTGGGGGCAACAGGCAGCCAAGGGGTCAGCCTGTCACTCTGTTCACTCACGTCAATGTCACTCTCAGCAATCTTCACTGGCTTCAGGCTTCGATCCTTGAGAAGGTCCCGGCCTGTCATCTGGGAGGTGAACAAGGTAAAGGAGATTCACCCACAGGGTTCACAATCAGAACTCAGGAGGGAAAGTCAGTGCCCCGATGGATGGGTGTGGAAGTCTTGGCAGTGGCAGGTAGAGTCACGGCACGGAAGGGGCAAAAAAAAAAGCAGGCAATACCTGCTTTTCAAAAATTTTTATTTAATGCCTATTTTATTTTAGGGAAAAATCAAAGCCATTTTTGAAATCCTAGTAGCACTTGTAAATTTCTCAAATTAAAGAAAATGTAGATGTTCAAGTTGTAGTATTATCAACTGTAGAAGCTTATGAGTTCAATATGAAGCTTGGGAGATTTGCCACCAATACGAGTGAGTTTTGCTACTGAACCTGGGGTCAAACACAAGTGACAGAAGTCCATGAGCCCATCCAGGGCAGTGTGCTGGACAGGCCAGGAATGACATGCAAATGCCCTGGGCAATGTCAAGCCTTAGTTTAAGGAAGCCTCTGAGGAGCCCATCTCCCCATGAGTGAGGTCAGCCTTCCTCATTTGACACTATTTGGGTAGAAGAATCGGCCAAGAGAAGAAGGAACCTGGATAATTCCCGGCTGGGGTTTCCATCCCTGCATAACTGAAGCTAGGTCTGCTTGTATAAGTTACAAGTTACCCTGTCCTCTCAAGAAAGGAAACCACAAAGGAGTAGACAAAAACCACCTAAACTTATGGGCCGGTAGAATTTCCCATTTCCTATCCCTCCCCTGACCCTACACAGGCAACACGTTGCCCATTTTTCACTGACCCCTATGAAGCTAAACCCAACCTGTTAGCCCATATTTTCATTTCCCCCAAATCTCCTTTTTGTCAAAAACCGCAGGGGAGAGGGTACTTTTTCACAGAGTCCTCTCCACGGCCAACCCGTGGCCGGGAACAGCCAGGTTGCATGTGCCCCGTGTAGGGGAGGCCGTCTTGCTGAGCTCCATTTTGCAGCTCTGACCAGAGAAACGGAGAGTGTAGCTAACTATAGCTGAGGGAGGTGGCGTGTCTACTGTGCAGAGGGTCCCAGTGTGCATGTTCAGACAGCCACTGGAGAGAGGGCCCTCGCTTTCTCCCTACTCCATCTGGATGGGTCAAGTTTGTGAACGTGAATCAGAAGCAAAAATATATTGGCAAACATTCCCCTCAGAACTCAAGCCACCCATGTGCCCAACTGTCTTACACACGCCCTCTCTCCCTGACAATCATCATCAGCAAATCCAAAGGTCAAGGTCAAGGGAGAATACCCTCTCCATGCCTTGGCCTGAGGACTAAGTCTGGCTGCAGACCCACCTCCACCCGTTCCCATGTTCCCTTTGGTCACATAGAGGGCTGTGACCACTGTTTATCTTGGTAAAGTCAGCCTGGCACATATACGGCCTGGCATGCCGAAAGGCACTCCTTGGCAAACGCTTACTGCACTGCGGGTAGATCAAAGGGAAATATATGTAGGTCAGTGCTGTCGAGTTCCTGGAAAAAGCAGAACTGCAGCCAAATTCTGCTCTTCAAACTGAAAGATTATGTATGTATGCACGTTTACACACAGTCACAGAACACACTGATTACAACAGCAATCCACAAACCACAGGCTCTGCTGGCTCCTGTGAGGGCAGAGGGGTGAGGGAGGGGCGAGGGGGAAGTTGAACCACAAACGGGCAGGACTTGGGCCTTTAAACTCAGGGGAACCCAGCAGGAACAGGTAGGCAAGTCTTCCCTGTGTCCCAAGTCCTTCATCGAAGCAGAGGGCGATGAGTTTGTTTAGCCTCCAAGGGGCTGACCCTCGGGCTTGTTTCCTAGGAAGACATCATTTTCAAAATCAGATGTGTTTGGGGGATTTTTTCCTCCTAGCAAAACTCTTTCCTATATTTCAGTGAAGCTTTATTTATTTTTTTTAACAGATGATATCTTTTTGAGACTGAAATAGCAAAGCAGGGAATCTAATTGAGTGATGGCTCATGTATCCAGCACCATCAGGGAAGGAATGAGGTGTTCTACACACAGAGGACATTTTGAGAAAGCCGAATCTTTTCAACTTTGTGATGGAAAGCTTACTAAGGGTACGTCCTTCGCTGCCTTCACCGAATATTGGATATAAATTCAACCTTTTTGGGGGGATGAGTCATTGGCATTATAAAAATCAGTAACAGAATTTTTTAGAAGCTAGTTTTTAGGACTATTTGCCCCTTGGTAAATGCTCTCACATCTCTGTGCTTTCATATCCATTTTAGATTGACATATAATGTTTCTTTTCTCTCAGGGTATTAGCACCCCCTCTTTTCTACATAGGTTCCTCTTGTTCCCTTTTAATGTGCTGCTTTTAAGGTGCTGTGAGTTAGAAATTCAAACTCAGACTGAGTCCGTTAGGATTAGAAACTCAACACAGGTGACACACTTGCAGCTTGTCCCCAGCTCCCTTCCTCTGACTGGGTTGGTGCCCTTGAAGGGAGATCCTCCGTCTCCCACACCCAAGGGTCTTAGTTCATCAGATGATACGTTCTGTCTCCCCTCACTAGATACTAACCTGATTAGGGGTGCCGGTGGGGACTGTGACCTATTTCTCTGTATCCTCAAAGCCCAGCCAGGCCCCATCATATTGAGGATATTTGGGACATATGTGCACAGTGAGAGTGAATGTAATAAAATAAGGTGAGTGAGATGTGCTCAGGGCTGAGACCACCTCCTATGGTCACAGGCTTTAGAGTGTGGGCTCCGTGATATGGTTACACAGCTCAGAGGCCCTTCTAGGCTTCTGCATTTAGCTTTGGTCCAGACAGCCGAGGCTACTAAGACATATCCACAAGTAGTGTAGTACATCTAATTTTCCTTTTAAAATCGTGCTTTGTGTTAGCTATGTTTAAATCCATGCAAAACATCGACTATGGGTCCCCAGCATCACTGTCGCCAGAGAAAGTGAAAGTCAGCGGGCACTCATCCATTTGAAAGAGTGTCTGCATCAGAAAGGAACTGAAGGCCACCCAGGCCTCTTGCCCACCTCCACCACATCCCCAGACACCTTTGCTCAGGGTGAGGGGTGAGGGGACACAGCACCTGCTTCCCAGCTTGCAGCAAAAGCTGGCCCCGTTTCAGGTACTACTTCCCCATCAGTCAAAGGAGGACTCGGGGGAGGGGGGGGCTCCAGCTCCAGGCATCAACACCCTACCCTGAAGAAGAGGCACCCTAATCCCAGGGCCAGGGTGGAATCTGAGGACACCCCAGCTCCTCCAAGGTGAGCAGGAGCGGCTGCTGCCTCCCAAGGAACTCAGGCTCGACTCCCGAGAGAGACCATGCTGGTCGCCTCGGCCTAGGTCAGCCCTCGCCATGGAGGCCGACGAGTGAGGATGGGAACACGACACAAGCTGGTGGCAAGCTAGGCAAGCCCCATCCCCACCCCCCTCCCCCATGGCAGCACGAAAGATGGAGTCACACAGCACCACAGATGAGAGGCTCAGCCTGGTGCACCAGCCAAAATCTTGAAGGGAGCTTCAATAGAAAGAAAATAAACCGAAATGACTTGCAGGAAGCCTGGGGGTGGTCAGGAGAGCCCCTGGTTAAGCAAGTGATGGAGCCAGAAGCAATGGAATGGCCCCGCCTGGAGACACAGATCAGATCATCTTACGCTTCTCCTGGGCCGACAGCCCCGTGCTGACTTCTTCAGCACTTTGTAAAGCACGTTGATCAAAGGTTCATTATTTTTTATCTGTTCCAAACACAAAGGCAGATACAACAAAACATAACAGGTGAGACATCAGACAACACTTGAAGGAGCCAGAATTGCGGGGAGCTGGCAAGGAGGGACCATGGGAGGATGCGTGGCTGTATGACTCAATGACCGGGCCTCAGTTGGCTTGCATAGCTTCCCAGCTGATGGACCTTTCTGAAGTTCGGTTCCCTTGCCTATAAAATGGGGGATAATAAGCTCTGCCTGAAGGGTCTTCGCACAGGCTCGTTTACGTGAGAATGCCAAGTTCAGTGCCCATCTCCTTCCAGGTCAGGTGCAGAAGGCAAGAGGGAGCTTGGCTTCTTCCCTCGTCCTCTTTCATCACATACTGTAAGGTACCGAATCTTTACTATCAAATGGTGCCACCATTAGGCCCTCAGACCCTCGCCTCCACACCTGACATGCAGCTAAAGAATGTCTTACCAATGATCCCAAATGCTTACAGCTCCTTTGAGAGAAGATTGTCTGGCCCGCTAAGACAGGGGATCTCAACCTTGGCTTGAACACTGGAATCACCCAGCAGCTTTAACAAATACTGATGCCGGAGTCCCAATTTCAAGAGACTCGGATATAATTGGTGTGGGTGGGGCCTGGGCATTGGGATCCTTAAAAGCCCTCCTAGGCGATTCTAATGTGCAACCAGGATTGGCAACCATGACACTAAAACAGCGGTTCTCAAACTTGAGCGTGCTTCCAAATCACCTGGAGGCCTTGTTAATATACAGATTTGTGGGGCACCACCCCCAGAGAGTCTCACGGAGCAGGTCTGGGGTGGGACTCAAGACTGCATTTCTAGCAAATTCCCAGGTATTGCTGATGCTGCTTTGAAACAATGATTCTCAACTATGGCTACACATTAGAAATACCTAGGAAGCTTGTTTTTTTTAAGAGTAATACCTTAGTGTTATCAATTAAATCAGAGTCTCAAGCCTCTATAGTCAATGAAAAAGCTCCCCTGGTTGTCCTAGTTCATGGCCAGGGTTAATAATCTCTGCTCCAGGACAACAGACCTCAAACTTTAGTGTGCACAAGAGTCACCCCAAAGCTTGATTTAAAAAATGCAGGCTTTTGGGCCCCATCTCCAGAGGTTCTAATTCAACAGAACCCTTAATTTTTAAAAATCAAGTTCCCAGGTGGTCCTGAAGTAGGTTGTGTCCCAGACCACAATTTAAGAAACTCTGCTCCAGGAGCTGACCCTGAACGGAGGTGCCCCGATCCCAGGCTCACACAGGAAGAGTCTGGAGGCCAGGCACCCAGAGCTACTGATGACATGTCCCTCAACAGGGATGAGAATCTCTTTGGGGCTGACTGCAACCTGCTCTACCTACAAAGGCACCACCCGAGCAGCTTGTGGTACCCTCCCCTCCACCTCCCTGTCCTAGCTGTGCTTTATCACTGCATAAAAACAACTCAAGCTGTCAACAAGCGCCAGCCCCCACACGCCCTCTTCAGACCCAGCAGGGGTGTAGGGTCCTGAAGGGCAGAATTTCAAGGACAGAAGTACAAATCAGTGAATACGCCTTTAGGGTGGGCGAAGCACACGGTACATGGAAGAAAGAAGGAGTCAATCACTGGGCTCGAATCCCAGCTGCAGAAGGTAGGGATAATAATTCCTATTGCTCGAGGATGCTGAGAGGATTGAGTGAGATTATTAACACCAAGTGCCCAAACACTGCCAGGCAGGAACAGATGCTTAATCAATGTGGAGTCCTTTCTATCCTGGCAGTGCCAAGTAAAATGCCAGAGAAGTCAACATTCCCAAGAAGAACATTAATACAGAGCATCTCCTAAGACACTGAAGGATGCCTTTGTGCGGTGGCTTGGCACCCCAGCAGGAATGCTCGTCTCAGGTAGGAAAAGCTCCACTGCATGGCGGGAGCAAATGCCACCAACGGATTCTGGAAGGTGAGCACCCGCCGATGGTGGGGACGATGGGCTCTGGGTCCTTAAGTCCGTGGCCTTCGGAGCAGGGAGACAGGGGTCCCTAGGCCAACGTGGTGGGGACAGGGAGGTTGTCCTTCTCCAGAGAGGCTCCCCTCCTATTCTCTCCCCAAGGAGGGACCTCTCCCAAGAAGCTGGTGACAGTGGGGGCTGTGCCCGTCACTCTCTCCATGCCCGGGCCCATTCAAGTGGGTCCACAGAGGCCCTCGTCTCAGGGACCCCAGCTGAGCTCAGCATCAGCTCATCTTGTCTAGCATGTCACAGAATCTCAAGAGCCAGTGGGTCTCAGGGTTTTCCTGATCTAGTCACTCAGCCCACTCAGTGCTCCCCTAGCATCGGCTACACCCCAGTGATGGGGAGGTCACCACGACCTGTGGTGGCCCTTTTAGAAAAGTCTTTCTTCTACTAAATGAAACCCGTCTACTTGTAGCTACTCTCCACTTGTCTCACTGCCCCCGTTAGGGCCACAGAAGCCACCTGGTAACACTGCCGAGCTTCGCAGAGCGTCTCTCTGTCTTCCCTGAATTGCCCTTACCTCCAACCAGTCTGCACTGCAGCTGTGCTAGTTGCTGCTCGGTTACTTGGTTCTGCCCAGCATGCCCTCCCATTAGGGACCCCTCTCCCTTACTCCAGGGGCAGGCTAGGCTGGGGGGAAGGAAGCCTGCGTTTGCAGGTGGCCACCTTCCCTGGCCATGTGGAGGCAGCCCGCTTCCCAGGGCAAGCAGAACGCTGACGACACGCCCTAAGCCCCTGGAACGTATATTCCCTTTTTGGCTTAGCAGGTTGATGTAGGTTTCAGACACTTGCAAACAAAAGCATCCCGCCCAATACGCTTCTCAGCCATGATTCTCGCAAGCCATCAACACCCCTCCTTTGATTGCAGCCCTTGCCTCGTCTGGATCCTGAAGTGAGACACTCATCTGGGAACCCTACACCGCAGCTGGGTCAGAGCAGAGCAAGCCCAATGCTTCCCTGTTCTGGGCACCCGAACCCTTGGAGGGAGGCCAAGGTGGTGCCAGCCGTTCTGGCAGCCACTCCAGACTAATGACTCACATGCAGCACAAACCCCAGCATCTCTGCCCGCAAGTGCTGCTGGTGGAGCTCATCTGGGGGGACTAGGTGTCTGAGAGGAGCCAGTAACTGAAGCAACCAGCAGACGTGCGACCAGAGACACTTGGAGACCAAAACAGTTGTTTTCCACGACAAACAGTGACAACTTCCAATGACTAACCTCTGGGCACATACAGCTCCAAGCTAGTGAAACACCCCAAGGATGCACCTTGCCTCTAATCACATCAAACACGTATCCTTGGCATGATGACTCCAGTTCAATTATAAAAAACTTAATTCCTCTGGGTCCACAGTAGTAGAAGCAACGTTTTAAGAGGATCTGGGAGGCAAGGTAATTAAGTGCATGAGCTTCAGAGTCAGAGCAACACCCAAATACTGACTCCCCAATAACTACTTCTGCGGCCTTGGGAAAGTCATTTACCTCTCTGAGGCTCCATGAGTAACAGAAAGATGCCACCACCTCCCTTCCAGGGCTGCTGCAGGGGTTACAATTTTAATAGGAGTAAAACACGGTGACTGGCATGCATTATATCCTCTATTGTCATTAAGCTTCTGTTGGGACTCCTGGCTCTGGTCTTCTCTCCTGTGTCTCAGTTTCTCTCTCTCTCTAAATCCCCTTTAACTCAAATTCTTCAGTCTTGAAACAAACCTGAGCCAGAGCTTTCCTCCAGGACCAACTGTGAGTTTCAGCTATCCCCTACAAACGGGAAGCAGATGCCAGATACGCCCACCATTCTGGCTTGGGCACTTTATCAAGTTCTCCCTTGCATTGAGCACTAAGCACTGTGAAGGGTACACCTGTGCTGCCGCTGAGCTAACCTCTGCCACAGGCCGAGGTATATGGATGCTCTACAAATACTTCTATGCCGACTGCATGGCCCCAGGGCAGGGGCGAGAAAAAATGAGCAGGCGACCTGGTGACTGGCAGTCAGGAAGGCTGGGGTCCAGGGATATGGTGGTACCCAGAGCAAGCAGAGGCTGGGGGCTGGTGGGCCTCTCCCTAGGTCAGGTGGGGGTGGTAGAGATTGCTGGAAGGGCCCTGCCCTGTCCCATCAGGGCACAGAAGGATGGGTTGCACTGCACAGTTAGCCCCCACTGCCATGGCTGAGCACTTTGTAACTTGAGGCATTACTATCATACTTAAAATACACCACAGAAGCTAGAAAATGCCCTGGTTTTGAGAGCACCCTCTGTTTTGCTTATGTCCAAAAGCCAAGTCAGACTTTTGTTCAGTGCACCTTCCGTCCGAAAGCCTGGGATAGAATTAGGAAGCTGGCGGACGGCCTCCACCTCCCCTGTTGCCCTAGCCACACCACCCTCACCCTGGCCCTCCGCAGCTCCTGGTTTCCCCAGCCCTTCCTTCTCAGCCAACTCAAACCCTCTGGCTCTTCAAGGTTCCACATACAGGCCACCTCTTCCGGAAGCCTTCCCAGCATGGCAACCAACAGTGATCCTCATTATTTCAGCCCTGAGCACCCAGCCAGACAGATCTCTGCACTCTCATTGTCAATAAGTCTGTGTTATCGGGGGATATATTCCTTCCCCAACCCAGAGAGCTTCAGATTTTCTCTCGTATCTCCCCTAGGCTTTCTCCAGAGCTGGGTACACAGCAAACACTCCATAGATCCAGCAGGTAACTAGCTGATTTCTAAGCAAAGGCCTTGATCTTGCCTCAGCATGGGAAGCCCCACCCCCTCAACCCCCCACCCCACCCCAATCTCTTGCCATAGGGCCTAATGTTCATACCGCTGCTTCTACAAGGCTGGGTGATGGTTCCCGTGTTAAAAATATCTCAAGCCACGTCCACCAGGGGCTGGATGGAGGAGGCAGGCCTCCGAGGCAGTCAGCTGGGTGCCCTCCTACGGGCGCCTCACCTGCCCTCATGCCCGAAGGTAATTAAAGGTCACATCCCTTCAGTCTATTTCATGGCTCAAGCATAAGAAGTGCTCCTCACAGTGGGAACATTCAGAGAGCTGTGCCAATGAAACAAGAGCAGCTCTTTCAGGCAGACTGCCTCTCACTTCTACAGCGGCTTTCTTGGGCTGTGTGTGCTGTGGAGGCTGATTTACAGCCCGAAGCTTTATCCCCTACAGGGAGGGGCCCAGTGATCATCTCCTAAATGGGGATGGGAGACTACAGAGCCCCTCAGAGCCACATAACTCCATGTGGGACCTTCTCGCCCAGCAACAAACAATCCACCAAACTACTTGTGGCCGAAAACACATATCAGTGGTGCCTTATGAGTCAAACTCACTCCCACCCCACTGGAGGCTCCGAAGAAGCAACCGGCTATTATTTGGAGGGACCTTTTGGTTTTGATCAAGGACAGGAAGAGATCAGAATCTTGCACCCTCGTCTGTGATCCAGAAACCTTACAGAATTCACAACAAACTGAGCCCAGAGTTTGAGGCTGTAAGAAACAAACTCTTCAGATGGAGGCAGCAGATGTCTTCATTTGAGATCCAGATTTGATAAGACCTGCACTGCCTTTGGCGTGGGCTCGGCTCCAGTGGGGCGGACACTCTCAAAAAGGTGAGTGTCCAACGGAGGCACGTCACTCTGATGATGTCACTCACCTTTAGGTCCAGGTACTCCAGGTCTTTCTTCAGCTGGAGGTAGGTGTCATCAGCCTTCAAATAAAGCAGAGAGAGAAAAAAGCCAGTTATGAACACCAAGGGTTTCCGTAACTTGGGGCTTCATGTGTGAATCATTTACATTGCACAGTTTCAAGGACAAGGGACCACAGCAGACTAACACATTCAGGGTCACAGGAAGCGCAAATGTCTCAGTGCAGCTCAGAGCCCTCTTTCAGCATGGTGGGTTTTGCAGGTTACTGTGGGGAAAGCCAGCTTGTCCCCTCATTAGCTGAGGGGACAGTTTGATGGCAAGGAGGGGGACAGCACACATCCCAGCAGAGGGCTAGGAAAGCAATGGAATTGAGGTGGAGGTGATCTTCTGGGAAAGAAGAGAGGGCTCTACCTGAAAGAAGATAGGCGACACCTGAGCTCGGGTCCCACTGACCACCAAGGCTCCAAGTCTTGTCATCAAGCTTTTGCATTTGGGTCATTCACATGCATGAAGCAAAATGAGCCCCTGATTGGTATGGAGAAATGCCTGGAAGAGGCAGGGAGGTGACCCAGGTGGCCCGAGCAGGTCCCCTTATGACCTTGGGTTTCAGGACGATAAGCATCAGCAGCCACTAGAAGTTTCCTGTAGGGTTTGGCTTCCTTTGCTCAGCATGGAGCCAATGTGGCACCAATGTCAGGAGCTAGTCGAGGAAGGTCCAGTGTCAGACCTATCTGCTTGTATCATCCCTGACAGTCTGTTGACTTCTTTAGTATAATTACAAGGAAAGTTAAGAATAAGGAAAAGACTGATTTCTAAAACTCATGTTTCCCATGTAACAGATCTCAGAAGCTAACTGTGAGGCAGAGGGGCTGGGAAAACTTAAGAAAAGCAGCCTAGGCACCATTTGCTCAGCAGACTAAGAGGACTGGGAAGCTCTGATGTAAAACACACATACAAATAAACAATGTGAGATGTTCAGGTGGTGCTTTAAAGCATGAGAAGGCCTGAAGGATCATTGCCAGGGACACTAGTGGCTGGCAAGATCTTATTTCTGTCCCTAAACTGTCCCTTTACCCATTCCTACTTTTTCAATCAGCCCAGTCGCTACATTTTCCACAGCAGTAATAAGGACAGAGTGGAGGGATGTTATTAGAAACCACCCAAATTGGGCTAGCTGAGTGGCTCAGTTGATTAAGAGCGCAAGCTCTTACCAACAGGGTCGCCAATTCGATTCCCACAGGGGCCAGTGAGCTGCGCTCAAGCTGAGCTGCCAACAGGTGGCAGCATGGCTCAGCTGGTGAGAGCACGTGCCCCTAACAACAAGGTTGCTGGTTCAACTCCTACATGGGGATGGTGGGCTGTGCCCCCCTGCAACTAAAATTGAACACGGCACCTTGAGCTGAGCGGTTGGGAGCTGCTGACGGGCGACCGGATGGCAACTGGACTTGGAGCTGAGCTAGCTGTGCCCTCTACAAGTAAGATTGAAGGACAACAACTTGGCTATTCCACTTCCCCAATTCCCCAACATTGTTCCCCTTCCCCAATAAAATCTTAAAAAAAAAAAAAAGATGGGTAAAGATCTACCAGATTTAAAAAAAAAAAAATCACCCAAATCCATAACTTAGGGTTTTTGTAAGTATTCCCTTACATACATTTTCTGAGTCCCTAGAGTCCCACTAAAACACACAGGTAAGGAAGGCAACAACCCCATCACCCTCCTCATCTGTCTTCTGCCCACACCTGTGCAGCTCAGAAGGACCAGCCTATGTGGACCAGGAACTCGAGGTGCCTGAGAGACAAATTGCCTGGCCAATCCCCAGGAAGCTTGCCTGCAAACCCCCATGTCCTGGAAGGCTTGGGACACTGCGCCAGAAAAGACTTTGAGTTTTGGCTCTAGCTGAGGAATCCCAGGCAAGTCACTTCCCCTTCCTGATCCACTGCCTGGTGTGTGGTAATAACTCCTGTCCTGCCTAACCTGTCCCAGGTTACTGCGAGGTTCACCAGGACAAGGGGTTTGAGGATGCTTTGTCAATCAGCAGGGCACTCTGCCTTCTCCGTCTAGGCTGACACACACCTTTCAGCATCCCAAGGAGGGCCCAAGGTGGCAACAAGGAGGACAGCCAGCATAGCCTTTTGGACATGACCACACACCGGCCTGGCAGTCACTACTCACAGCCAGAGAAGCCACAGTTCAGGTCCCTCACACCACATGCAGCCTCCTCCCTGGGGCCCAGGGCGTGGACCCCACCACCGCTGCACAGAGTCTGGCAGTAGCATCCAGAAGCGAACAGGCAGAGAAGGAGGGAGAGAGCCGGACAGTAAGTACAGACCAGAGCGCGGGCACGAGGGAGCGCGGGCCAGCATGTCATTCCCCTGCCCCTGGGGTGGCCCGGGCCCTGAGACAGCCCACCAGCGCTGACCTGGCAGGTGGGAAAGGTCAGGTGATGCTGAAGTAACTGGCCGACGGCGAAATTTCGCACGCTGGCCAGCTCAGCCTGGTGCCGCCGTAACCAGGTGAGAAGCAGCGAGAGCTCCTCCAGCTGCAGGCGTGTAGACAGACACATGGAGGAAATCAGCCGTGGCAGCAGCGTGACGCTATAATTACTCTTCACCTCGGTGCCATGACGGCACTGATGTGACACCGTTAAGTAATTATTGTATTAATTCTGTCATTAGGACAAATAAAGGCACTGGCAAGAAAAGGGACTGCAGAAAGTAGTTTTGCTTTGTTTTTGTTTTGTTTTCAGGAAACAGCAACCAACAGTGCCCTCTCACCTAGACTCACACTTTGCAGACAGTTAACTAATCAAAGCGAAGACCGGGAAGAAAGGAGAGGCGCTAAAGGAAGAAAGGCAGGTGGCTGGAAAATGCTGCCCCCATTCTCCTCCACTTCCCCAAGCTCTTTGTGGGATCTGGGAAGGAGGGCCTGACGCTGGCTGGGTGACTCTCAGCAAGTCATTCAACTTATCTGAGTCTCAGTCCCCTCATCTCTGAAATGGGGGAGGGTGATAACTGCCCTGTAGACTTCATTTGACTGGCTTAGGAGAAAAAAGCAGATAAGATTACGCTCTTTGCAGACTGTATCGTATCACTCCCCTGGGGGGGGCGATGAAGCACTGCTTACCGATTTTCCGTGTAAACTGGGAGCGCTGACAGTGTGGGTCATGTAACCCATGGAAGGCATGGAGCGCCGGTCCATGTGAGAAGAGCTCTGCAGGTGGAAAGACAAGACGTCACACTGAGGGCTGGGCAATGAGGCCGGGGCCAGAACCTCTGCCACTCGCTGCCAGGGCAGCCTGTGCCATGGCACGTCACCTCTCTCAGCCTCAGACTCTTCATCTGCAAAATGGGGATACACGCCTTTCTCACCAGGTTGTAGCCATGATGAACTGGGAAAGCCCCTTGGAGAGTTGTTAATAAAACTTAAGTTGGGCTACAATAAATAATTGAACTGATTGAGCACTGACATCTTTTCCCTGTCTTCCAAGCTGCAAGGAAGCAGACTACGAGCTGTGGGACCCTGGGCAAGTTACTTGTCTCTTAATGCCTCAAGAGTTCTCATCTGTGAAATGGACATAATATCAGCACCTACTTCTTAGGGCAGTTGTAAGAATTAAAGGCTTTGGTACTGCACCTGGCACCTAAAGGTGCTGCATAAATGTTATCTATCATTATCCCAAATTGCTCAAATTTGGGTTTAAACCATGTGAGGCTCCTGACACCCTAATGCCGGACCCCAGAAGCCTGGCAGGGCTCCAGAGCCTCACCTTGGTGGCATGGCCCCATGCCTTCCTGGGAGAAGTCCCCAGCGAGATGTCCACACTCCTCCTCTGGTCCGGTGGCTTCACAGTGACCCTCTCTGCTGGCGTGTGTGGCCGCCGGGGTGGGAAGACCCTCGGGGGCCCCGGGGGTGGGATGTCCGAGGGAGATGGAGGCACAGAGATGGAGCGGGGCACCTCTAACATGCTCCTGCTCCGGCCCTGATCAGTGAACTCTGGGGAACCCGCAGAGATGGGCGCCGTGGGGCTGCCGTGCCGGAACTGCTGGCGCTGTGTCCACTCATAGAGCTGCCACACAGTGCCATCCCGGTGTGCCCGGCGCTCCTCATTCGACATCTTCCGGTGGCTGGCTCGGTCCTGCGCATACTTGTAGTCACTTGGCAGGTTGCGGGGAGGGGGCGAGGAGCCCCCCGAGGGGTGCCGGGTGCTCTTGGGAAGAGTCTGGTAGTTTTCTGGGAAGGACAGGGGCTGGCTAGGACCGTAGCGAGGAAGGGTCTGATCCAGGGGCAGGCTGAGGAGAAAGGAGAGGGACAGGTCAGGTGACCAGCCAGGGACGGCCAGGCTTCCGGAAACACGACTAGGTAAATGCGCAAATCCAGGCAGGTGAGTGCGCCCTGTAAGAACCTCAAAGAACAGTCGAAGCAGACATCCAGGGCGCCTGTCTCTTCCTCCCTTGCCAGAGGATTCCAAAACCATTTTTCCCTGTCAGTCTTGGAGTGTCAGGGCTGAGGGGGCTGCTCCACGCCCAACACGTCAAGTGCAGCGTGATTAATCCTGCTTTCTCCCCTCTCCCACTGGACCTGTCAGCTCTCCTGGTGGGTGTGCGTATTTCTAGGAAGCACCTCAGAATTCTCTGGGTCACCAAGACATTTCTCTGCCTGGTATCCCAGCACCAAGTTCTGGAGGTTCTTTAAAAAAAATGGCTAGCAGTAGTGCCTTTCTTTTTCTACTAGTCTAGATTCTGATTAATGCCCCCCCCCACACACAATTTTGAGACCTTCATAACTAGTTCCCACATTGTACACCGTCAACTGCTTGGACCTAATCCCTCCCATGCTCCAAAAACTTCAATGGCTCCCTGCCGCTTATGAAATAAAATCTAACCCCCTTCGCCTGGTACTCATAGCTCTCCAGCCCCTGATCTCAACCTACCTGGCAAGTCCTGCTGTTTTCTCACTGCCCTTCCTACTGGGGCCAGGGCTGGGCTGGGGCGACCCAGGCGTCTAGGGCGCAATACATATGGAGGCACGCCCCTCAGGTGTACTCCTGTATGTACTAAGAGCAACAGCCCCACCCTCATCCCACCTGGCCTCCTACACCCCTGGGCAACTTCTCACGGTGGAAAGAGCAGAGGGAGTCTGACCTGGGGTTGAGTCCTAGCTCCACTATCTATCAGCTATTTGACCTAAGCAACTTGCCTGACTGCTCTGAGCCTCAGCTTTCCTACCTGTGACATGAGGACAGTATTACTTGCCTCGTGATGCTGTTCTGAAGAGTAAATGAGATAAGTGAGAGAATGCCTGGGGCCATGCTTGATACACAATAGGCACTTCACCAGTGGGTGCTCCCATCCCACCTCTCCTTAGTCTCATGTCTTTTCCCTCCACTACCTGTATGGACACCACCCCCCACCCTTGCCCTATTCACCCTAATCTCACTCTTTCTCCAGGACACTGTCCCATGCCTCTTCCACGGAGGCCTTCTATGATGTCTCAGCCCTCAGGGTTCCTGCTTTGCTCAGACTTAGTTATTGTATGGTCTATAACTTTTCCAAGGTCCTGTACTGACATAACCTTTGCATACTTGCAAAACACCTCTCCCCCAGCCAAGCTGTAAATCCTTGGAGGGCAGGAAGTATGTCTTACATTCTGTGGTATTGTCCACAGTCTAAGAAAGTCTTGACACATAACCAGCCCTTCAACAAACACTCCAGCACACAAAAGCTGGATATGATTGTGAAAACTACTACCAAGCAGCCATCTTATTTTCTGAAAGAAAAATTCAGCAGAGGGCAAAGAATAGCGTTTTCTTTGGCTTTAAAAGTCTAACCTGGAGGCAGCATTATGTTGTAAAAAGAAATTTTAGAGTCAGATAGGCCTGGATGCTTTTATCTATCAATTTTTTCCTAACAAACTTTTATATAGTATTTACCACATTGTTGGTAAATACATTGTTCTAAGGCCGTGCTTCTCAAATTGTGCTCGGTGGAAATGCACCGTTGGCACTACCAAACAATTGTTAGACATGCAGTTTATCAGGTCCCACCCAGATCTGACCAATCAGAAACTCTCGGGGTGGGGCCCAGCCACCTTGCTTGAACAAGCCCTCAGGCGGCTAATGTTCTACATGTTCTAAAATTGTTCTAGTTTTAAAACTCATCTAATTTAATCACTTCCTAACTACATGTCCTCAGGTAAGTGTCATTTATGCCTTCACTTTCCCTATTATAAAATGGGGATACTGAGAACCACTGAATAGATTGTTGTGAGGATTCAAAATAGTTGCCCTTCAAAAATGACAACTTTCTTCTCCCCTTTTATCGTTATCTTTGCAATTACAAGAGGTAATTTTAGGACCTCTAACAACCCAGACCTGTCTAGTGTGTCTGTCTAGCCTGTCTCCTTGCCACTAGGTGGCAGGGTTTGCTACTGATTCCCAAAATCAGAGGGGACCCTGTTTCCGAGGATGGGGCAGTGCCTGAATCCTGTAACAGTGCTGGTGGCAGTGACACAAACCAGGCCATGGGCTTCCCCTGGGGATTTATGACTTTACTAACCATTGTTCATGCTGCCTGAAGCGAAATACAACCAAAGCATGTCATACCTGTGGTCCCACCTAGGTACCCCTTCCGTCTAGCTCTGCAGCCCAACCTCGGCGCCTGCTTATAGGTCAGTCCCCGCGCTGGGCAGTGCCCCAAAGCCCTCAGCTTGTCCTCTATGTGCCCCCTGCCTATGCACCGCCTGCCACCCCACAAGGGCTTGCCATTTGGGGGTAACCCCGAAGGTCCCAGTGCAGTGGTGAGACCTGGCTCCAGAGGCCACACCGTGGTAACTAACCAATGGTGGAGGGGAGGGCACAGGAGGCAGGGGTGTGAGACGAGATAAAGATGGCCCTCGGAGCAGGCAGGAGCTCCCAGGGCAGCTTTGTCCCTGACCACACGTCCATTTGCTGCCCCCCAACTCCAGCCCTACCCCAAGAGAGTGCTCATGGTCTCCTGCCCTCACACCTTGCTCTGTGGCTAGGTAGTCTCCGTGTTCCAAAAGGCACTGAACAGAAAATTCTGATACAGTCACTACAAAATGGTCATAGCAACATACAACATCAATTTTCATAACCAATTACTTACTCAGCAGATATTTCTCACCCTAACTTCCATATCGATTTTGCAGGACTTTCACTTTTCTACTCTGTTCTTCATTATAATGTTTGAGTCCCTGATTCAACCCCGACTCCTGCTTTTTATTTTACAAGTATGTATTACTGTAACACCAGAAAAAAAAAAAACCAGAAAAACCCACAAGGCTAGAATTTCAAAACAATCTCTTAGAATGTGGTAAGATTCTAAGGGTATGTCAGTCTGACCCCCACAAACCATTATTCTAAAGGAGTTTAATGATGTGAAGTATTCACCTCCAGGTATTGAAAAAACAGAAATAATTTCTTGTGTGGTCAGAGCCATGACTATAAGATCATATTTCAGCCCAAATAACCCTTCTTCCAATGTCCAGCGTGCTCGACCCAATGAGCTTAGCACAGTCTTAATCATACACAATGCAGACATATCTATCCATCTTCTATATTTTTCAAATGGAGGAGGTTCCTTTATTAAGCAGCCAGAATTACTTATTACTTGATGGTAGGAGATTTCCAATATATCTTTAAGGAAAAAAAACAAAAAACAACTCTGGGAATGAAAGGCTCAGTCCTTTCAAGATACAACTGAATGATCAGGGACTGAGCATTTTGCTTACTCAGAGGCTGGCAGCTTTCTTCTCTCAAGGGTAGTGCATACTCGGCCTTCCACTTCTCACTTTTACTTTTCCGCCCACTGAAAAGTGCTTCCACCACGAGACTGAAATTCCTCTCATAGTGTATTCAATGACTGCCAAGGTCAGCAAACTGTTTTTACCTACAGACCTAATGTCATCTTGCCCCTTAGATAAGAATGGCTCAAACTCCCATCTCATATCCTAGGGACCGTCCAAGGGATTCCCCCAGCCACCTCCTAACTCCTTGACGTTGACTTCTCCCCTTTTAGCTCCCTGGTGTGCATCCCCACCCCCAAATACAAGCCATTGTGTGCAGCAGAATAATGTAGGTTTGTGGGCCGCCAGAAGCAGTTACGTTGAGACATCTCACAACCAACAATGTGTAATTACATTATCAGTCGCACAGCTTTTGGAAGTCCCTTCTGCGCCCCTGCCACGAAGGGTTTCTCACTGGCTGTGCCATCTTTCTGGTTCTTTCCCCTTCCGTTTTTCTGCCTCCTAACCTAATTTAAAATTCTAGCTCTATTAAGAAAGGTAATTCAGTGGAACCAAAGGCCTCTGTCTGCTACTGAGCAAAAAACCCAGCAGAGACCTGAGGTTCCAGATGCTCCTTCAGGGGTGCCAGCCTCCTCAGAAGGCACCACTCCCAGGGAGAAGTCCTTATTTGCAAACCCTGGTGCTGCTGCCTGGACTCCTTCCAAATGCAACTCCTGTCCCCACACTGGTTTTCCTCCTCCATCTCCTACTAGGCTTCTTTGTGGACACTGCTTTTGCCCACCCCTTGGGCTGGAGAGTCTCAGGGCTCCGCCTTTGTCTGCGATTGTTCACCCTAAGCTCGGGATTCTCAACCATGGCTGCACATTGGAATCACCCAGAGGCAGGGGGTGTTTTTAAAACTCCTGATGTCCAGGCTGCAGCCCAGGTCAGTGGAATCAGATTTCTGGGCATGGGACCCAGGCCTCAGTAAATGTCAAACTGCTCTCACATACTGGTATCACTGGGGGAGCTTTTAAAACGTACTGATGTCTTGACCTTACCCCAGACCAGGGGTCGGCAAACTTTTGAGATGGAAGAGCCGTCAAGGGTCAGCAAGCTGCGGCTCACGAACTGTGGCTCCAAGTAAAATTGAAAATGAAAATAAAACTATCATAGTTTCATTTATAAAACTTTTAAAGGATATTATTCACATAATGGTGATTATGTAAAAATATATTTATGGCTCTTGAATAATTTTTGAATTGTTGTGAGGGACAGGATTGGCTCTTCCAGGGGTTGGAAAACTTTTGAGACAAAACGTACCCAAAGAGCCGCATGTGGCTCACTAGCCACAGTTTGCCAACCCCTGCCCCAGACCAATGAAATCAAAATCTCTAGGGCGGGGCCCCAAATAATCAAATTATGCAGCCAGGATTCAGAACCACTGCTGTAAGCATTTCAACCTGAGTGACGTCCCCTACTGCCAGGGCAAAATTACCACGTCTAGGGCAATGACTTCCAAATCTCTAAACTGAATGAACCCACATTCCCTATAATCCACTGGTCACCCCCACCTGGCACTCCACCGGGACCACACTCCTCTTGAAGCTCATTTCTCTCTCCGATGCTCACACCTTGTGCACGGCACCATGACTACCTATTAAACAAGCCAAGCTCCAATGTTAAATTAACCTCGCCTCCACCTGTGGTGCTCCCTACCATCCAGACCGAGATAAATTAGCTTACCAAGTCCTACCCCTAGCCAACCATGTCCACCCCGGCCCCACAACCCTCACATCTTCCCTGCTTTTGTTTAGGTCTTCCTCTCCTCCCACCCAGACTACAACCATCTTATACTTGATCCTTTTCTCTTTTCAGGCTCTTCTCCATCTAAATCATCGGCCATACTGTCACAGGAGCAAGCAGTTAACTTAAAACAGTTCTCAGGGCTGATACGGGGGTGGGGAAAACATGGACGCCCTTTGGGGTTATAAACTGAAACAGCACCTTTGGAGGTCAATTTCATAATATGTATAGCTATCACAATACAAGTCACCTATATCCTTTGACCCCGTAACTCCACTTCAACTAATTTATTCTTCAAGGACACTTGCACTTGTATGCAAAGACAAGTAGGCAAGGATATCCACTGCAGCCTAGTTTGTGACAGCAAATGTCTGTGACCCACTGAATTGTCCATCAAAAGGGAATGGCAGGGGGATCACTGCAGATCCACACAATGGAGTACCCGGCACCATTTCAAATGAATGATATATGTCTATAGGTGTTGATATGGAAAGATAGGCAAGATATATTAAAATGTATATCTATATACATATATATCGATATATTAAGTGAAAAGGGCAAGGTAAGGGCTGACTGAGTGGCTCAGTTGGTTAAGAGCTAGCTAAAGAGTGCAAGCTCTGAGCAACAGCGGTTCGAGTCCCGGCCCGAGCTGAGCTGCTGCTGAGCTGCCAACAAGTGGCAGGATGGCTCAAAAAAAAAAAAAAAAGGGCAAGGTAAAGAACACAGTTTCTTTTTCTTTTTCTTGTTTTTTAAATACAGTGGTTAATCTTTGGAAAGTAGAATTAGGTTTCTGAAATAAAATTGGAGGACTTATTTTTCAGTAGTGTTTGGTATTGTTTGTACTTTTTACCTTGTGACTGGAATACTGGTTATTTAGGAGAGTTACACACCTAGCTGTGAATTTGGTGATCAGTCAGTAATCGGCACAGAGAAAATTAAAAGCATGAAAATGATCAACACCAGGGAGAAAAAATTGTACACCAAAGGAAATTTAATTATAATATACTATATGGCCCAGCTTTGCGTATTTATATCATCATGATAACGTAAAAGCTGACCAGTAATCTAAACAAAAATTATGCTATAAGTATATTGTGAAGCTGGGATAAGGGTGAGTATGTCTGTTGGAAAGGAAAGGTAGAGGGGGAATAAGAGCTTAAATCCTTATCTCCTAGACTACAATGTCAATAGATAACTAAAACTAAGAAGTCAAGCAAGAGCAGTTTAAGTATTTTATTAGGAAAGACAGAGGTAAATTGGGAAAACTACTAAAAGAATTCAAAGTGGCTGCCTCAAAGAGGCAGGAATCAGGAGTAGGGATGGATAGGGGTCATACTACTTAAATCCTTAAACTATGTAAATGTATTATTATTTTAGTAAAAAAAAAAGTTTTACACAAGGATAACTAAAACTGCCATTTTCATTTTGGATGAGGTATATCAGAGTTACCTGGGAAATTTCTTCAACATATAGCTGGACCTGCTATATTAGAATTAGGATGTAGAATTGGCTATCCAGTCTGAAAAATCTCCCCGGTGGGTTCAGATGCCCCTTTCCTGCTAACACCCTTTGAACCACCATCCTCAATATTACATAGTATCATGCCAGGTTCCTATTTAAAGTCCATCAGTGGCTTTCATGAGCCTTGAAGATTAAATCCAAACTCTTTAGCAGGAAACACAGGCTCACCAGGGCCAAACCTCTGTCCTTTCTATCTGCCCCTATTTCTGGTCTCTTCTGCTTTTACCTCCCCTAGCAGTCCCCATATTGAGTTCAGTTCCTAAGGGTTGTTACATACAAGAGGGAACTATTAACTTATCACAAGTAGCTTCTCTGACTACACTTGTCTCCTTCTGCGGGACCCCCTTTTGCTGCTAGCTTCTAAGTGTCGGGGTATCATTTATGTGCTGCCTGCTTCCAGTCAGTACATCCAACCAGACCTCAAACTTCAACACCACAATCCATATCCAACTGCCTACCCGACATCTCCCCTTGAGTAGCTAATGGGTTTCTCAAACTTATATGTCCAAAACGGAAACCCTGATTTCTGCTAAACTTGTTCCTAAGCCTTCCCCATCTCAACAACCATCAGTCCGTCAAGTCAAAACTCTAGGGGGACCCTCCTCATTCCTCCCTTTCTCTCATCCTGCACATCCAATTTGGTGACAAGCTTTTCTCTTGAAGCCTCCGAAATGCACCTCAAATCTATTTATTTCTATTTCCACTGCTGCCATTCTGGACTGTTGGAACAGCATCCTCCTCAGGCTTTTCTTTGTGAATTATTAATCAGATTACGTCACTTACCTGTTGAAAACCTTCCAGTGGTTCCTCCTACTGCTTTTTCAAATAAAATCCAAGTTCCTTACATTGGGGTAGGAGGACCTGCATGATATAGCCCCTGCCAGCTTTCCAACCTTATTCAACAGTACGGTCACTTAGAACCACCTAGTCCAGTACCGAGAATAGCAGCTTCCCTCCCCTGTGCCCTGGGCCAGTCGCTTTCTGTTTTCAATAAAACACAAAATGTGAACAAACAGAACTGCCGCCCGTTTCCCTGTGGTTTCTCCACCATCTACCCTCACAATTGCCCAGGTGGACCAGATTAAAGGTTACACACCCCACACAAGCACACCACACCCACACATCTGAAAACAGGCCTCGGCTGCTCCCCTAGGAGAATAGCTGCCCCCCCCCAAGCCCACAGGTGCAAAGTCTGGGCCTCTCCAACAGGGAGAAGGAAGTCTGGCATTTTAGCACATGTGGATCGGGCCCGAGGCAGGTTTGGTCTGAGCTGTGGCACATCCACTGCGGCCCCTCCGGCCCCCGGGGAGCTTTCGGAATGCACCAGGGCTTTTTGATTTCCTCTCTGGTCAGTGGTTTGTTTTATAAGCCTGAGGATGGTAGGGAGGAGTAGCCGTCTTCACCAGGAAGACAAAACACAGTGGCTTCTGGGCACAAAGGGAAGCTGGGTGGCCCTGAATGCTTCACGTTCACAGATGTGTCCTAATTAATGTTAAAAGTATAATAAAATACAGACAGTGCTTTGCAAATAGCAGGAGTACGTTCCCTCTAAATCATTAAAAACCGCTTCTTGAAGGAATGGGTACGATAAAGCCTTCTGTCAACAGTGCCAGAGCATGGCTCCATGCGGCTGAAGTTAAAAAGGGTCTGCGTTTACTCTATTTTCTGCAAATATTTCCCAAAGTAGAGAAGGAGCAGCGTAACAGGAGAAGGGGAGTTCCTATCTACATGCTGACTGTCTCAAGGCCCGCTCCCCGGGGAGCAGAGGAGCCTCCTGATGTAATCTCGTGTGGACTTAGGAGGCTCACAGACCCAGGGTCTGAATTCTGGCTTTGCCACGTATCTGTGTACCCTGGGCAGGATCCTTCACGTCTCTGAGCCCCCGTTTCTTCATCTGTAAATTAGGGCTACGGCTCCCTCTTTGCAGGGATGTTTTTGGAATTTATGGAGATAATGGTGGGAGAAAGCTTAAGGCCGGCATGACCCAACACGTGCGGGGTGAATGACAGCTACTGTTAGTTTGTTCTTATGCTCATTAATGGCAGTGATCCTATTACTGACCTCCTGCCATCCCCCTTCTGGGACTTCGCCCAGTGCTCCACCTGGGCCAGGCTGCTCCTCCTCTGGCTGGGCTTTTCATGGTTGGTCCTGGGAGGAAAGGCCCGCTGGTACCCGCCAATCCCGTTCTGCTCTCCTGGGCCATATATGATGCCATTCTTCTCTGCCCACTGGGGCTGTGCCTGCTGGCCTCGCAGGCCACTAGGTAAATCCACGAACAAGGCATCCTCCTCAGCTGGTGAGTACGGGGACCTGGCCTTGCTCCTGTCCCGCTTGCCCTCCAGTGGGTCCCTCGGGGAACGGTACCGTTCTTGATCTTGCTCCCGCCTCTCGAAGCCAAAGGGGTCCTCATGGCGGCGATGAGGACAATCCCGCGTGTGTCTGGGTCCCACGCGGCCACACGCACGACAGGTCTCTGCATGGTTGGCCTGGGGGACGGCCTGCCGCTCCATCTTCTCCATGTCCCTGCGATGACAGCAGAACATTTAGCTGGTTCCAGACAGCACAGCTGGCAGCCAACACTCCCCAAAGGGTACACTTTACCCTCGAATTACCTCCAGCACTTTGCATGGGTCATTCCCTCTGCCTGGACCACCTTTTATGCCTAGTCCCTCTGCCTACCTAACCTAATGATCCTTTGGCATTTGGCTAAAATGTCACCTCCACCAGGAAATCACCAGTCACACACACCCAGCCTTGGTCGGGATCTTAGCTGACTCCATTGTCACACTAATCACACTGGGCCATAATTGCATGTTTACTCATCTAGCACCCAAGTAGACTATGAGTTCCATCAGGCGAGAGGCCCATCTGGCCGATCATCGGATGCCTAGAAATTCTGTGCAATGACTGGTACAGAACAGGTGCTCTATAAATACTAGTGAATAAATAAATGATACATGGGACATTCTCATGCCTTTCCCTTTTGCTATCTGTCTATCTGTCTGGGGCAGTCCAGCTTAGATAAAAGGCTCCTGAGCCCAAAGTCTCTCCCACTAGCAGCTGACACAGCCCAAAGTCCAACTGTCAGCATAATTCACATTCCTCCAAGATGATGAGTAGAAAAGAGGTGCAGCAATCTCATTACATGACCACTTAGCGATCTCATCAGGAAACCATTCAAACAGAAACCCACAAGAACACTGACCTAACAATAATTCTCTGAAGTATTCTCTGTCAGGATTTACAGATAAGGAAACTAAGGCACAGAGAAGATAAATGATTTGCCCAAGATCATGCAGCTGGAAAAGAGCGGCAGACGGCGGAGCCCATGCGCTTTAGCCACTGCTCTCTCCTGCCTCTCCAAACGCACGTCACGGCCTAGATCAGGGGTCGGCAAACTTTTGAGACGGAAGAGCCAATCCTGTCCCTCACAACAATTTAAAATTTATTCGAGAGCCATAAAACAAATGAAATCACCATTATGTGAATAATATCCTTTAAAATTTTTATAAATGAAACTATGATAGTTTTATTTTCATTTTCAATTTTACTTCAGAGCCACATGTATGTACCCAAAAAGCCGCAGTTTGCCGACCCCTGGCCTAGATACATGCAAGGCTGGAAATTGTCAAGGAGAATGGGGGTAGGGAGGGTGATAGGTCAGAGTGTGAACTGAGGCTGGAGAATGGGCTTCTGGGGCACAGAGGAGTCCTCTTTCATGGCCCATCTCCCACTCGAAGCTGCCTTTCTCCCCACCTCCTTGAGGCAGGGTCCTAGGTATGGCTGCATCCCTGCTACCTGGTACCAGAGACACAGCAGCGGCTCTACAAGCTTTGCAGAATTTAGATGAGAGAGGCTGGGGAACACACTCCAGCCAGGTCCAGAAGGGCCAGAAAAATTACCAGAACCCTTGGATGGGACAGCCAGTCTACTTGTACTCCTTGGTAAAAAGGTCCTGGCCTTAAGGTCCATTACTCCTCAAATGCCAAGCCAGAGGGTTCTCCAGTTCAACATGAAAGCATAAAATGGAAATGCTGCTGCATTTATATTTAGGTGGCCACACCCCAGGTGTTCCTGCCACAACCTCAGAACCTCAGCTACCAATAATCAGCACAGATACAGGGCAGAATCAATCCAGTCTGGGAGCTATATAGTTAAAAAGTCAATATAAAGTGAAAACACAACCCCTAGTACAGGGTCTCCTTCTCAGTGTGTTAGACCTAACTGTTGGCCTGAACCTGAGCACAGAGAGCTGAGAAAAACAACGGTACTTCTCACTGTTCATGTGCTTAGGACTTTTCCATAAAAACCCAAAGCTTTGTGTGTGGTGGGGAGGGGGGATTTCTCTGGATCTCCTTTTATCCATCATTAGAGGGACATCTTCCCCCCCCCCCACCTCCCACCCTTTTCTGGTACCTTCATTTCAGTTTTCATTTGGGGATCACCCTCCCCCACTCTCAGTCCATATGGGTTTGGGTGCTGCTGACTCTACTTGTCCTTTTCTAGCTGAGGTTCCAAAGTCTTGCTGATTGGTTCAGGGGTTGACACATGACCCAACCCAGGCCAATCAGAGTTAGCCCTAAGGATTTGGTTCGAGCTGTTCTTCAGTTGTTACGACTATGTGGGAAGCAGGTATTTTAGAATAAAACCAACACTAAGGAAAGTAGATGGAAAGAAACAGAATACTAAATACCTGGCCTGAGCTCCTAGATTTAGCCACACCTAACCAGATATATCCTTGGACTGTTTGGTTGGGAACCAATAAATTCTCTTTCTCACTTAAGCTACTTTGAGTTTGGTCTGTTACTTATAGTGCAAGGAATCTTATTATATCATTTTATAATGACATATTTAGATGATCTCTGAAGGCCATTCCATCCCTAATGTTCAATGGGCCTATACGCTCCATTAGTAGGAAAACATGGGAAATATTCAGGGGCCTACCTTTTTAGAAAAAGCAACTCTTACTGTAAATTTATAGAGAGACAACTCTGTCCCACAATGTATACACACCATAGGTTTTAACTTTGTCTTTCCTTTCTTCCTTTAATTCTCCATAACCATGTCACTGTAATCCCAGCCAGCAGCCTTCAAGTTGCCTCAGGTAGCCTTTATATTCTTGACCGTGTCCCAAATTTGGGACACGATTCACAAGGAATGTGCTAAGGCTGCTGCCTAGAAGATTAGAGCTCTGGCTGCCCTCTGGGTCACGCCCCGGCCAAGTCGCCAAAGCTTTATAACCTGGTTACTCCCAACTGTGAGACCTGAGTAACTGCATCTTCTTGTTACTCACCTGACCCCCAAGATAAGCAGCACTTCGCCATAAAAGCCAGAGAGCGAAACAAATATGCCACCTCCATGTACGGCATTATAACGGAAGGGAAAAGCGATTCCTCGACTCCGGGACCCAAGGGTTGTGGTACAATGTCTCAGCACAACCAACTGTAATGTGGATTTGTCATTCTTTACTGATCAACCATCATGTATTCCCTGAGCACCTATATATCCCCAATGGGATAGGCACTTGGGGGTATAAGAAAGTAGTACAGAAAATAGCCTCTGCCATCTAAGCCAGACTACCTTAATGCCCAGTTGAATCATGGCGACCATATTTAATATTGTTCTCAAAAACCGACCCCAAGTCATGGAGTTTGCCAGGCTTTTCTCGCCTTGGAGCTGATTTGTAACTATAAATCTTAGTCCTTACCGTGTGTGTACATATGAGGGTACACACCCTCACATATGCCAGTGAATCCTGAAAATAAATTTGACAGAGAATGGTCAACCCTTTTCTTCAGATTAACATCAGAATTTGCTGCAAAACAAACCTTTAGAGGGTGGCTAAAAGAATGGTAGCCTGCTTGCCACCTGGCAGATTTCTGGGCCTTCAGACTTGTCGTTCTGAAAGCTCCCAGATCCCATGGCTGCTGGGACATATGAAGATGCGCTTGTGCCCGTGTTCAGGCTAGGGCTGCAGGTAAGATCCCCCACCTTTTCTGACTTCAACATTTAACTTACTAAGTTATAGGGTTGAAGGCAAAAATGGTTTTGGTTTTTTCCCCTGTCTCCTTGCATTCCCAACAATTGAACACATGACTTCTCAAATCAGGAGACCTGTCACAAAATAGATTTACAATGCTCGATTTAGCACAGTGGTGGGAAAGAAGGAGGCACCCTCAGCTGTCAAGGACTGTGCCACTCAGAGAAGGTGGCTGTGCAGGGCACACATATTTAGCTAAGAGGACACAAGCCTTTCCTGCACAGGTCATTGCTATCACCATAAGCCATTGGAACAGTGACTGTCCAAAACGCAGGGCATTCCTGACATTTGGTGACCAGTTTGGCCATATATGTCACGTCTCAAGCATCACAAACCCAGAGGGCATAGGATTTAGAGCCATTCAGACCTGGATTCAAGAGCTGCCTCCACCCCAATATAAGCTGCGTGTCCTTGGACAAGTCCTTGACCTCTCTGGTTTCAGGTTCCTTATGTGCAAAATGCGGACAAGAGCCCCTCCCTCCTTCCGATGCTGTGAGGATTGAAGGCAAGGCACAGAACGAGCACAGCCCTGGGTCTGGCACACAGTGTGTCTTCAAATACAAATGTGTTGACTCGCAACATCTATTCTCTCCTTCCTTGCCCCAATTTTTTCAAAGCAGCAATGCACTCAGTGAAAAACATGTGTTTCCCAATCTCCCTTGGAGCTGACCCCAAACCTGGAGCTGAGGGTGATCATGTGACATAGATCTGACGAATCACATGTACAGTAAAATCGCTGGGTGGATCTTCCAGAAAAGTCTTTAAAAGACACCCTTAGCTGGCTTAGCTAACCCTCCCCTTCTTCCTGCCTACAATTTAGATTCTGTGCTGGATAGCAAGGTGACAAAAATGAGGATGAAAGCCGCCTGCTAAAAGCTGGGTAAAAAGAGTGTGGGCCACTGAAGGTATCTACCCGTCTGTACTACCTATTTCTGGATTCCTGGTATGCGAGAAAACTAAAACCTAATTTCAGTATGCCATCCTCAATTGGGTTGTTCTATGACTAGCAACCCAATGCAGCCCCTCACTGCATTAGGGGCTAAGCTTTGTATTAGCAGGGGTTGGCTCCCTCAGTTTTCAGCACATCCCAGCAATGCTATATGTCTGCTTAGAGCAAATTCTTGTTTTCCACTGCAAGTGGGAAGAGAACACATCTCAGACCAGGGATACGTCTCTCTTATCCCTTTTCTTCACGAGAATTTGGAAGTTAACATCATACCCAGCAATTGTGCATTGATTATTATTTTACTCTGACTCCAACCCTTCATTGTACCAGGAAACAAGGAATAATATTTCCCTCTATCTTAACGCTAAACACATGCATACCCCACGCACATCAAATCTCATTCAAAGGCTTGGGTGGGTAGAGAAATGACAACTTGTAGCGGGGCTCGGTTGAACCCTGGTCCTGTTGGTGGTTGCAGCCCTTCTGTTGCCATCCCCTGGAGGGTCCCTCCCCCTTCACCTTACCTAAGTGACCAAACTAACAGCCCAAGGACCAGGGCCAGGCCACTGATACTCTTGGAGAGTCTGGTCTGAGCCAGGTCAGGTGGCAGAAGTGCTGTCCTGGGAAACCAGCTCAGCTTGTGTTGAGAGATGCCGAGCTCTGGGCACTGACCCTCCGTCTCAGGAGGGCAGTGGGTTCAAAAGCCAGAACCCACCCTGGGCACAGTCCACAGACTTGTACAAAAGGCTGAAGAGAAAGGGACCCAAAGTCTCTAGGGAGCCCTCAGGCAAGCTTGCTCACCTGAATTAGTTTCCTAGCATTTGAGGAAGAAAATGGCTGAAGTGAAATGGAGACAGGAGTTGGTTTCTTCTTTTCCCCAGAGCTAAATAGGTCAGTCCCCCTGGGAGGGGGAAAGGTATCTGACTACCTTTCATGCTCTGCTCTAAAGTAACAATAGAGGGCCTGACAGCTCTGACCACACACTCCCCAATTCTCCAGGCTGTGCTCCCCTGGAGAAGAGCAAGGCTGAAGAATAAATGAAATACCAGACTGCCAAGTCGAGGTGCCTCTTGCCTCAGTGGCGTGGCTATTGGCAAAGTCCCTTATGAAGTTTTAAGGACTGAAAAGAAGAAAGGAAAGCTATTCGATGTCTACCAGTTCTCTGCACTTTGTGTATTCCTGCCTGGAGAGTCCTTCCCTCTTCCTTCTTCCTGAGCAAGTCATGCTCAACTACCCCAGCTCAGTCTGAGCCAGTCTAGAGCTCCGGCTCACGCCAACCTCACTCACTTTCCCTCTCCTGATATGGCAGTCACAGTTCCAGGTCATTCATTTTCTGTGGCCAATGCTTGCTTATTATTCCCATATGTTGGCTCCTTCTGTGTGCCAGCACCTTGACACAGCCCACCTCTAATCCCTACAAAAATCCTGCCAGGTCAGTACTGTCAAGCCCAAAGAGGCTGACGGCACGCCCATGAATACCAGTTTACTTACAGCGAGTTGTCTCTACTGAAGAGACCATGGCAGCAACAGCCACCACTGACTGTGAGCTCACTAACTGGAAAACCCTGAGGAAAGCATGTTCAATATATCACCGCTTATCATCATCATACAAACCCAAAAGGCTACAGATGTTATTATTCTCTTATGACAGGTAATGAAAATGAAGCTCAGAGAGGTTAACTAGCTTGCCTTGGATAACGCAACCAGTGACAGAAGCAGGACTCAAACCCCATCTGATCTGACCCCAAACCCCTGCACCTGGCTAAAAAACACATCCATAAATTATTTCTGCCAAGGGTCCAAGGGGCTTGTCCAATCTCAGGTGTTCCTGCTACAATTTACTTAACTGATCATAATTTAGAAAGCCAAATATTTAGTTCTCTGAAGAGAGTGAAGATAGCCAGACATGTAGGACCCATTTCTGAACAGGCTGATTCCCCACACGCCAGTCCTACAACACTGCTCAGACTGCTCCCAGGCATCCCAAGTTCTTATTTGAAAATCTTACAGGTAGAGGTTTTATAGCTGTTTTGTTCATCCATCCACCCACCCGCCAAGCCAGCCAAACATCCATAAACCCATCCATTCCTTTACTGAACATTTACTATGTGCCAGGTGCTGTTTTCATTTTCAAGCTTAATCTAGCAGGGGTGACAATGAGAAAGCAGGCCAACCTAACTTTAGCATGGAAGTTCTATGCATAAGGAATGCCCGAGCGCTACAAGCAGGGGCATCTAACACACTGAAGGGTCAGACAAGGAGGAAATAACACCAGCTAAGACCTGAAGGATG